AAAAAAAAAAAAAAAAAAAAAAAAATCTGTATTTAATATTGAAAAACTTGAGTTTATTTCATTGTACTGTGAAACAAAAGCTTTTGCTTCTTTATAGAATTTAATATCTATCAATTTTCAGAGAGAGAGTCATTTTTCAGTGATCTTTTGCCTATGACTTGATCCTTTCTCTGCGCAGAGGGGACGTAACTGAGTTTATGGTACAGAAGAAAAGATACTGCACTAGTGGAAGTAGTCTGCAGGGCAGACCACGGGATGTGGATAGGCAGTGCAGTGTCTCTGGGCTTTGCAGGCTCCCCGTTCAGCTGTGTGGACTGTTGTAGGCTGTTATGCTAGGCATGCAGAGGGTGTCTGAGTTGTTTCTTTGCTCCATGGTATTCAGCATTGATTCAGCCTTTGGTATAGTTTACTTTTTACATTTATTATTATAATTTTTTTGGTACTGGGGATCAAACTTGGGTCCTTGCGTTTGCAAGTCAGGCAGCAGGACTGCTCTGCTAAATCATCGGCCCTCTACATTTATTTTAAATGAACACATTACTTTTTCTGCTTTTTTAATGTGTTTCCACGTTATTGCTTATCATGTATTCTTAGATTTTTAAGGCATTAACTGAGTTAAAGCTTATAAATTGAGGAGACCCTTTGTTGCCTTGAACATTCCTTGTGAGAGTTCTGAAGAGTTAAGAGTGAAAAGTGAAGTTTGTTTACTACTGCTCTTATCATTATTTATTTATTTTGTTTATTTTGTGCCAGGGATGAGACTCAGGCCCTTTTGCTTCCAAGGCAGGCGGGAACACTGAGCTAAATCTCCAGTCCCCCTTGTTATTATTTTTTTATTAAGCAAGGTCTCTCTTCCCCTGTCCTGAGATGCAGGCTGTGCTCTACCTCTGAGTTGTGATGTAAGAATATAATGTATTTAGGAATCTCAAGCTAGGGAAGACAGGGTGGAATATTCTTGTTTAATAAGACTTTTTGGGTTATCTAATCCATTGATAATTTTTGAAATATTTGGCTGAATTTTATCAAGGTGGCTATTCTAGTGGAATCAGTTTGTTCATTGGCCTTCTGTGCATTTGTTAGAATCTTAGAGAATCTATCATTTTTGCAAGGATAGCTAAGGAGAGTTCCTCATATATTAAATTATTAGTGATCAGAATTTAACTGTAATTTGCAACTGGTTGACCATTTTTATCATTGTTATGTTAACAGAAACCAAAGAAACCACCACCTCCTACCAAAGGTCCAGGTATGTAAAAAAATGTATTATTCATTTTGTCTTTTTTCATGTTTTTATATTCTAAAATGAGACTGAGTCTAATGTAAACCATTAATTTTTGAAAACAAGGACAATATATATAAAATTGCCTGGCGTTATATAGAAACAATGTTCTCATGCATTATTATGCATCATTTTTTTAAAAGTCCAAATGATACAAAATTGATATCTTGAAGATATTTGGATACTTGAGTTATGTGCAATGTTGAATAAAATTGAGTTTAAAATTGTTTTAGAAAACAATATTGATTGGCTATTTAGTTATTTTAACTATTTATTTTTATTTGAACAAAACATTTCTTTATATAAAGTATTAGTAGTTTCCCACATTTTATTTTGAAAATGAAATACAGTGGAATCACATGTATGTAACTATACATATGATGTATATAAGCATCATTTTGCTGAAGCAAAAGCTTTGCAAATCAAAGTTCAAATGAAGACATTCTTCTAAATTCTCAGGCTTCACTGAGAATCAGAACCCAGCAGTCTTTCAGTCCTTTGCTTGTGCATTGTGCTATCCACACTCTCCATGTGATTGGCTCCCTGGATTTTATTTTATTTCACTCTTCACAGGTAGAGATCACTGGGTGCTCCTCTGGGTGTTGAGCATTCTTCTGGTGTTGTTAGTCCCTCCAGTCCTCCAAGCAGAACCCTTCACCTTTTTAAATAAAACTCACTTCTTAATGTCTCGTGCAAATACCAGCATTCTTTCAGAGGTCATGCTAAGGGTTATATGAGGCAGATGAGGTTTTTTAGTTTTTTAAACAGTTGAATAAATTATGGTACATCTGCAGGTGTCCTGAAGGATTAAATCTTACTTATTTTTTTTGGTACTGAACTCGGGTCCCTGCGCTTTCAAGGCAGGCGGTGGAACCACTGAGCTAAATAAATCCCCAGCCCTTAGGGTTAAATCTTAGAATGTGGCTATTTCTACAAGTTCTTTCTCTAAATTTCTGATTTTTATGTAAAAGTTTCAGTTCTTGAAAGATATATTATCTTCTAGAATAATCAAGCCTGAGCTCCCCCTTGTAATCAGCTTAAATGTTTGGTGACCTAATTCCAGGGCAAGGAAAGCATAAATTAAAAGTAATTTTTGTACAAGTTAGGATTATAGGCTTCTTGTAAAGCTGTACTATTTAATATGGCAGCAACTAGCTACATGGGTCTTTTAAATTTAATTAAAATTCTATAAAATACATAAAATCAGTTTCACAGTTGCAAAAGTCACTTTTCAAGTGCTTGTTAATCATATATTGAATAACACAAAAATAGAACATTTTCACCATCACAGAAAGTTCAGCTGGGATATGGTGTGGCAAAAGATGTAAACTCTGATTCCTAAGTTTGACAAAAAAGAAGTAAGATCACAGAATTTTAGGGTAATAGTGATGTTGGTAGGTCCCAGATTACAAATTGAGCTGAGTGATTCCGGCACATTATCCTTTCTCTTACACTGTGGTACCTCCTGATGTTGTTTTTAAACTATTGTTTACTTTTTAGTAGTATATTTATGTCTGTGCTCTAAAATTATTTTTTAAAATGTTCACTTTGTGGTTTTATACCTCTAGCTCCAAAGCCTGACATGTTAGCTGCAGAAAAGAAGCTTTTTCCTATAAAACCTGAAGAAAAAGGTGATACTGATTCCCCCTTTTCCCTAGTCCTTTCTTTCATTATTTTAAACAAATGTGGCTTTTTGCAATGGGTTGTTTATACCAATTTTTGGCAAATTTATACTTACTAATGTTTGGATCCTGGAAGGGAGTAGTTTATCAAGATTGATAGGAAATTAAGCTTACACTCATACCAATTCCAAATTACATTGTTTAAAAAAATTATTTCTTCAATAGGACATAGTACTTATTATAGTTATTTCAAATAATACAAGAAAACTAAGCTAAAGAACTGACTTGTATTGTTTTAATTGTGTTTCTTTTTTTTTGAGACAATCTCACTCTGAAATACAGGCTGGCTTTAAATTCACTATGTAGCCCAGGCTGGACTTGAACGCACAGTGATCCTCCTGCCTCAGCCTTCCGAGTGCTGGGATTATAGGCGTGCACCACCACACGTGGCTAGTTAAGCTAGTTGAGATGTTATGTGGCACTAGAGTTTCTACTGCATTTGGTTCTTTACATTACATTTGGAGAATATGATCTAGATTAAAATCTAGGTAATTTTCTGCTTATAGTAAAATTACATGTGGTTATTTTTTGAGGTAGAATACCACTGCTAAAAACGAATGTTGGGAGCATACTAATAAGTAGGCATTATTTGTTAATCAGAATGTTATTAGTGGTTTCTGTCCCCATCAAACTAAACATTTTTTTGTAGGTGGGTATTTGAGCAGGGTCTCACTGTGTAGTCCAGGCTGGCCTCAAACTCACAGCGATCCTCCTGTTTCAGCCTCCCGAGTGCAGGGACTATACAGCCTGTGCCACCATGCCTGACAAAGTAAAATTTTAAAACTATTTATGCTTATTAAAGTGTAACTTTTAAGCCAAGCATGGTGTTGCACACCTGTAATCCCAGCACTCAGGGGTCTGTGGCAGGATTGCTGTGAGTTTAAAGCCAGCCTGGGCTACCTAGTGAGATTCTGTCTCAAAACAAAAGTGTAACTTTGAACCCCTCCTCTTCCATCAGGTGTAATTTTAAACAATGCTTGCATACACAGGTATAGAAAATGAAAATTCATATCTGTCCTTGCCTCACACTTTCCCAGCCCAACAGAACTTTGAGAAATAGAAAATCTGAATAGTTTTGATTAGTAACTTATTGAATATTGTTTGATCACTAGATGAAAAATCACTGCTGGAACAGAAACCTAAACCAGCTGCTCCACAAGTCCCCCCCAAGAAGCCTACTCCACCCACCAAAGCCAACAGTTTGTTGAGATCTTCTGGTACAGTTTTCCCAAAGCGGCCTGAAAAACCAGTTCCTCCACCACCTCCTACAGCCAAGTAAGTCTGCCTAACTTTATTTAGCTCATTGACTTACATACCTTTGGCCCAAATGGCTCTATTACCTTTCTAAATCTCAAATTAATTCTTAATGAGTATTTGTTCTCTATACTTCCTCTGTAGATGACAGTAATTCTGTTAAATGTTAATCTTCTAATCTTACATTCAGAATATGTGAATACACTAACACTATTTTTACACTTCTGATTTATTGTGGTCAGTTTTAAGTTAGAGGTTTATGTGTAATGGAAAATTCTTATTTTACAGAATAGTAATCAATATTATGTTATAAAATCTTCAGTGTTAACAGTTATAACAGCACAACGTTAAAGATCACCATAGTATAAAAGTGCCATATTTCACATTCAGATGATTTTTGTGTATGTTTGTTTTTCTCATTTCAGAATTAATGGAGAAATTTCTACAATTTCATCGAAATTTGAAGCTGAGTCAGTATCAAAACCAAAGGTAGATTCTGAGCAGTTGCCAGTTAGACCAAAATCAGTAGACCTCGATTCATTTATAGCAAGAAGCTCTAAAGAAACAGGTAAGTCAGCATGGACAAAAGTAGTATGCTAAAGAATGTGGTCAGTATAGTTTTAGAAATGAAGATTGTATATCGGTAGATATAGAGGAAATTTGTTTGAAATTCAGTAGCTGTCACAGAAAAGTAAACTTGAAGATAAGTTGGGAGAATCTTTAAGTTTCTTCCTGGTCAGAGGATTCTTGCTTACCAGATAGCAAGTGATATAAGTTTTCATGGTGGTCAGAGGACTAAAACATATGTTGAAGAAGTCACCCTTGGATTATTCTATGCATTTATAGTGGAATGACAGATATGCCACTGTCCTCTATCGGGCAAGTATGAGTAGTTTCTTTGTTTTTTGTTTTGGTACTGGGGATTGAACTTGAGACTTTGCGCTTGCGAAGCAGGCAGTGGAACCACTGAGCTAAATCCCTGGCCCTGAGTAGTTTACTTTTATGAGTTTTAAGAAAAAGTGACTTAGACTTTCATTGCCAACACTAGTTATATTTGATAAGACTTTTTGAAAAAATTTCATTTAATCTAGAAATGCTCTTGTTTCCAGTACAGGGTATACTTTTTTTAATGGCTGTATGTATCAGTAGGGTTTACTTCTTTTGCTAAATGTTGTTTCTTCACATTATGATTAATTTTTCACCTTTGTCTAGTCTACATTTCTTTCTGATTTTTATACCCTGTTAGTTGTAGAATGAAAAACTTGATACAGAGGTATCTTAACATTCTCCCTGTTTAAAGTAGAACACAAACATTACGTTGAGGTAATGGTTATTATTTTGTGTGGTGCTTCCCATTTGTAGCTTTTTACATTTTTTGAAGCACTTTTTCATATATATTCTGTTTGCAGTAACTCTAGGAAATAGATGTTTTTTCCCCCAGTTCACCTAAACTGTAGAGACACATCAGATGTGCACAGTCACACAAGTCAAAAGAGACGTCTTTAAATTCTTTTATATAAAGTGCCCTCTGATACTCTTTTAAAAATCTTCAGTGTTAACATTTCATATTTATATTGAAACTTCAAAGTCATTTAGGTTCTTTTGGGGGTGGGTACTGTACAGTAAAATAATCTTATTTTGTTTTTCTTGCATCTTTTTAGTTTGCCAGTGCTAACTAAAAGCATGATGGGGCCACTGTTCACATGTTGCTCTGCCAGGCAGCTCTGAACCATCACCGGTGCATGCATGACCGTCCTGCACTGTTAGTGGTACAGGCCACCCAAAGGGACCGTCGTGCTTGTACCACTGGTGGTGCAAGCTGGCAGGGACATGTGAAGTTTGGCGTCTTTTTAGTTTTTTTATTGGATATTTCATATATCGGTTTGTCATATATTTGGGTCCTGCCTGCTGTCAGTGATGCCATACTCATTAATTTTTGAGAATTGAGATGTTGATTATAGTTTAGACAAAGTTATTGAAAAATATATAGTATGTTTTATCTGCTGAAAATTCAAATTACTGTTATACAAAGGTGAAAAAAAGTCAATCCCTTTTTAGAAAGGCTTTTTTTTTTTTTTTGTAGAGCTCGGTATTCTAAAATAGAATATTACCAGGTTTTTTGATTAAAATAGTAGTCAGAAACGTGTTTTCAAAATTGATAGTTGAAGAAAAGCAGATCATTTTTGCCCAGTTTTAACTCTGGAAACAAAAACTATTTATTGGTATTACAGTATTTTTTTGAATTTCCACAATTTTCTGTAATCTTTGTCAGAAAAACCTTAAATCTTGATGGAGTGCCTTTGGGAATGAAAAGAGTCTCATTTAGAACCCATGTTTTTCTGTTATTTTGTACATTTTCCAAGTCTCAAGGTAGTGGAAATATTTTTTAATATTTAGGTAAAACAGATTTTTCCTGTTTCAAAACTTGTTCCATGTACATGGACCAGCAAGCTTTGTTTGCTTTGCTACTTTTCTGGTAGAAATAATACACACATCAGTTTCTGACTGTTGGTGATAGGCGAGTCCTGTTATTTAATTTCGTGTTGGGATCCCTTTTTTCCTTATAGCCGTAGGGGTTATTTGGTACTCATACAAATGAAGAAGCTTTGTAGAACAGAGTTTAAAAACTAATTTCTAGTTTAATTATTTTTATTTAATAAGTAAGGAAATAATCTAGAGGTGCAACACTTGTACAAGTCAGAACCAGAACAGCAGAGTTCTAAGCTGCTGTCTTTTCTTCCACTTCTCCAGGCTGACTTTGATTCATCACATACGTACTCTGTCACGTTCAGAAAAGAGAAACTGAGAACTGAGTTTATGTTAGAGCAAGTATTTACTGAGCTCTTTTTACCTTCTCAATAGTGTTTTAGACACAGGTTATATGCTAAGAAAAAAGGCATAGTTACTGATATCAAATAGCTTCTGTCCTCTTTGTTTTAGTGTCTCCCTTATCCAAAATGCTCTTTTGAGTTGCTTTTGGAGTTTGGAATATTTGCATACATGTAGATGTCTTGAGCATGGTACCCAAGAGTAAACATGAAGTTCATATTTGAGAACAGCCTCAAATTTGGCATTAGGTTCAGGCATAGTTTATATTTTTTGGCTTAGTTTCAAGTTACACATTTTAAAAATAATGTATAAAACTGACCATTTTTCAGAAAGTTTAAAACACATGAAAACCTCTTAAGAGTTCCATTATTAGGTACAGTAATAATTTGAGGTGAAATGATACAGTGGAAAGTACACTAAATTTGCAGTTAAAAATATGGGTATTATTTATTAGATGACTGGTCCGAGATGAGTTGTCTAAATTTATTTTCTTTTGCTTAGCTAACAGTGGAATGATTTATTTTAGCTACTGTACCTAGTAGAATACTCAGCATTGACATTATTAAAAATGGTAATTTTCTTCTGCCTCTCACCCTGCTCCCTCTATTGTTAAATCCATTTCATTCTCTTTCTCCTTTATATCAAGGGTTATAACTGCCTGATGTTATTCTCATATAAAATTTTTCCTGTTTGTAAAGTTACATATAGGCATATATATAAAATAATAATATAAGTATGATTTCTGGCTTTTGTACATATAAGAAAGTCACTCAAAATACTCAAGTTGTTTTTTTTGTTTTTGTTTTTCCTAATGGCATGAAATAAGTTTCCCCACGTCATACATATGTGATATGGTGCTACAAATTTCAGAGCTTTTTAGGAATCATGTTTTAATTCTTTTCTCTTTTTTGAAATACTTCATCATATATTAAAATCTCATTGTCAGTACTGGTTAATTATAAATTTCATATGATCCAAATTTCTCTAAAATTGTAATTTTTCTGAGACGTAAAATTACTTTTATATTAGTTTGGAAATAATAGAAAACTTAGTAGTAAGATAGCTATCACATTGAGAAAGCTCAGTGATAAGGTCCCTTTTTAGTATTTTATCTCTTGATTGTTATATTTCTTCCAGAAAGAATTAATGATGGGGTTTTTCTAGAAAAATTCCTATTGAACAGTAGACACTGTAAAAGTGACCTTGCATTTAATCTAAACTAGGAATAAAGTTTCTAGTATTAGTTTTCTTTTTCACATTCTAGACTATCACATAAGACATTTGATTTTTATTCACAGTATATGTGTATGAGATATTTTGAAAGTTATATTGAACCAGATTTTCATTGTGAGATATTTTAAAAATTTGGCATAGTTTAATTTTGTGATATATTAGGATTAAAATGTACTCCTTTATTGTAATTGCTGTTATACACTGAAGACTAGTACTTGATTCCAAGGTGGTTTAATTTTAGTTACAAGTACATTGTGAGATGTTACCATATTGATTATAATTGTGGCCTCCTGCAGTGCTAAGCTGTGCTTTGAGAAACTGTCTGGTGTTGTTCATTGAATAAGAAAACAAGGCTTCTTTAAGCTCTATATTGAATATAATACTAGTGTTAATTTTTCCTTTTGAAAGACAAAGGAATAAATCTAAAGTCTAATACATATCTTATGTATGCTTAGTTAACCTGTGATAGCTATGATAGCTATATACTAAACATTGAAATGCTTCTAGAACTGTTCCTTTTCCTGCTTTGTAAAATAAATTTTTTGGTTTAGTCTTTTTTCTAGACATTCCTATCCTTGACTTTTCTTTCCAGATTTTGTTTCCTAGCCTGTTTGCCATGTTTTCCTTCTTTCGTGTCAGGAAATTATCCTACCCTTCTCCATTTTGGTAAGATAACAATTTATAAAAGAAGTCAAACTAGTATATTCAATATAAATAGGTGGTGCACACTGATTTTTTTCTTTGTAATTTTACCAAAAATGTACATGTTTGTCTGTCTATTCTAACCCTTTTGGTTTTCCATTTTAAAAGAAATGAAGTTCATTTTGGAAAATTAACTACACTTTAAAATATGCTTTGGATAAGAGATTTTTTTTTAAATTGACAACTTAAGAATGAGATTCTTTTCTCCCAAAATTGGATATTTCGCTTGGGTTAAAAAAATTCAATGTCTTCCCAGCAATACATAGAAGTATAAGTGCCTGGCAAGGTGACAGATGGGATTGTAAGACTTAAGTGATTGTCATACCTCTTGTGCCACGTGTATAGTGCAAACCCATTGTTAACATACTCAGGTAAATTTGGAAGCATTTAGAGCTGTCCTGAGTTCAGAATGTGCACTGTCCATTTTACTAACCTCATGACTTAAATGGAGAACCTGAGAGAGTTTTAGAATGGTAAAATTTTGTCATGGTATTGTAGCCCCAAACTGGACGTATGGAAGGCACTTACATGAACATGGTGTGTTTTGTAAATCTGCATTTTACTCACTCTTTTCTGTTTCATTTCTCTTAGTTTCTTCTGTGTTTTTGTTTGTTTCTTTTCTTTCTATAAGTTGCTTTAATATGCATTTGAAAATAATCTCTGTAGGTCAAAACAATTGGGTTTTAATTTTCAAAGTGTTTTTTTGTGGGTTATCAATTCACATTTATAAGTGTAAAAAGCAATTTTTAACCCTTGGAACTACAAGATATTTTTGATATGCCTTTTAAATACTGATTGTTTTCTTTAAGATGCTTACAGATAGAATAATACGTATGTAATATATATTTAAATGCAACCTTGAAATACTGATTGTTTTCTTTAAGGTATTTACAGATAGTATATATTTAAATGCAACCTCTTAGTTGGGCATGATGGTGTATGTCCGTAATCCAGCACTTAGGAGGCTGAGGCAGGCAGATAGCCTGGAACTTGAAAATGAGTTCTGAGTTCAAGACCAACCTGAACTACATAGCGAGAGCTTGTCTAAAAAAAAAAAAAAATCCCCAACCCATGTCATTTTCTTTTAGATTATATAATGCATTTTCCACTAATGTCACATTTATTTCTTATCATGGTTTGTCATATTTTATAATTTTAGACAACTATGAAAATATTTAAGTAAACATATTAGAGCATTCTGATGTAGTAGCTTAGTGGTTTAATCCAAGAGAGGACACACAAAGTAACCTATGAGGAAAAATTATTAGTCAACCAGTGCTTTCAGTTCATTATAAAACACACATTACCAAAGAGTGATACCTGTTCTTCTGCCTTACCTTCATGTTCTTTATTCCTTAAACTTTTCTTAAGTTACTTTGAATATGAAATTTGCTGAGTGATCTTTGAGAGTGACACTGAGAAATATCTTTGGTACTGGGGGTGAGCCAAGTGTCTTTTGCACTGTGCTACTTCCCCGGCCCTTTTACAATTTTGTGATGCGGTCTTGCTAAATTTCCCGGGCTGGGTTTGAACTTGTGATCTTCCTGTCTTAGCCTCTCAAAATGCTGGGGTTGTAGGTTTACAGAAACATGCCCAGTTTCCTTAGGTCTCTTTTTAAGGAACAGCAGCACAGTGAGAGGGGACATCTCGGTATCTAAATGTTACAGCCGTTTGGGCAAATGCTGATGTGAAGGATGAATCCAAGCCTAGAAGATTAGAAGAAAGATAACCTCCTGCCATGTGGGATGTTTTAGCTGTGTTTAATATTCCCACTTCACAGTGAGAGCTGCAGGAAGGTTATATTGACAAGAATTTACTGTGTATAAATATCTGAACTCAGAGCTGAAGAAGTTCCTGTAGCAAAAGTTTCCAGATATAAGGCAAGGCTGTGTATAAAACCTTATATATAACCCATTGTTAAAGAATATGAATTACCTTAATTAATTAAATTATTGGGTCTAAGATAAACTAGCCTTTGATGGAAGGGCAGCAAATTAATGATCTTTGTAGCATTTTCCCTAGTATTTGATTTAGCTTCAGCTTTGACTGTCTTACGATTTCTAACCGTGGTAATGTCTAAGCAGCGGTGCAGGAAGTCTGAATAGTTTGTGTCCCATCTGTAACATCTCTTATACACATGCCACATGAAATTGTGCTTTCACTTTACCTTGAGAATAGAAAGCAGCAGTGTTCTGCATGTAGTCGAGTTCTTCAGATGTGAATATTAGTCCATCACCTGAAGTTTAAAACACATTTTCCTTGGAAATCTTGGGTATGTTGTAATTAATTAGTAGTTTAAGTAAATTGTAGCTTTTAAAAAAAAATAAGAATTTAGTACAGTTTTATTTAATGCTTTTACAATTTATACTACAGAATCATCTTGCAGTGTATTTTTGCTGACATCTCAGTCTCTGCTGGAAACAACCTTTCCATAAAAATCTTGTACTATAAAATGTTTCAGGTAAATAGGATTTTTTTTTTAAAAAGGGGGTGTTGTTTCCAAATGCATATGAAAAGCACAGATCAACTTGTGAGCCCTTCACAGTAGTGATACTCTTTTAATTTATAGTTTGTTCAAAAGCCAGAAATATTGTTTTTGCCTTTTAAAAGGCGCAGTTATCTCTTAGTAGATAATATTTATTTCTGTTCTTAGATGTTGTAAATTTTGATGACATAGCCTCCTCAGAGAACTTGTTACATCTCACTGCAAACAGACCGAAGATGCCTGGACGCAGGCTGCCGGGCCGCTTCAATGGTGGACATTCTGTGAGTTATACTTACAGCACTGAGGGTCCAGCAAAAGGAGCGGGGGAGAGGGCTCAGAGCCACACCTGGGTTTAAAAATCCTGAAGACAGCTGTTATACTTTCATGGCAAATGCTAGCATTTAAGGAAATACAAGGAAAGAGATAACCATTTCAGTGCAGGGCCTGGAGAGGAAGTGTACAGAAGCAGAGCTAAGGAGTTGGCCTGAGAAGCCTGTTTAATCTACATGTGCAGCAGTGATGATTGGGTCTGAGTAGTAGATACTCACTTTTGGAAAGAGTGACCCCCCTCCATTGTTAGTGCTATTGTAGTATTTGTATCTAAGTCATTCTATTCATTGCCTGGGATATGGGCCATATTTTAGTATTACCTTATGAGCTCTTAATGCATTATGGTGCTTTTAATAGCTAAGTGGAGAAAATTTTGTTGCTGTTAAGCAAGCTGTTTTTGCCTTTAAGCTACGCGAATATGTTACTCAGCTTGAAATAATATAATATCCTATAACAGTAATGGGATATCAGGAATAATGGTAGGTTAAAACAAAGTGGTAAAACTTATTTGCTTTATCATCCAAATGATTACTACAGTTTCCTTCTTTGGTCTGTTCTCTCTCTGATTTCTAAAAAATCATTTAGCCACCTCACAGCCTAGAAAAAACCTTGAAGTTACCAAAAGACGATGATAGTGCCAACCTAAAGCCATCCGAATTCAAAAAGGACATGTGCTTCTCTTCAAAGGTAAGGTGAATTGCATGCTGAGATTTCTGTAGTTTCTAGGATGCTTTGTGAACATTACAGAGAAATTAGATAATTGGAAATAACTGATTTGGAAATAAGGGAATAAGGTAATTCCTGCTGAGAAATTTGAGTTTTGTTTTGTTTTGTTTTGTTTTGTTTTTATACCGGGGATCAAACTCAGAACCTTACACTTGCAAGGCAGGTGGTGGAACCACTGGGCTAAATCCCCAGCCCGAAATTTGTGTTCTTTTTTTTTTTTTTTTTTTTTTTTTTAAATGGTACCAGGGATTGAACTCAGGCCTTTGCACTTGCGAGGCAGGTGGTAGAACCACTGAGCTAAATCCCTGGCCCTGACATTTGTGTTCTTAAATTTAAGTCACATTATTCTCTTTAGATCTGTTTCAGAAGATTTTATATTATTTTAAATGAGTATATTACATATTTCATAGTTTTGAAGACGTAGGTGTATGTCTCCTCTGAAGTTAATTAGTTTACATAATGATTTTAACCACACCCCTCAACAAAAAGGAGTCCCACATCTACTATGGAGTGGCAAGAATAATGGGCTGTCTGTGTTTGAAGCCAGGGGGACCTTCTTGAGGGGAATTAATGGCAGTGAGTCTTACTGTAATAAATTTTTTCTAATTTAAACATTCTCTGTATATTTTGATCATCCCTTGTGCTCAGGAAGATCATGTTTCTTCCTAAGTTAGTCTTCAGTTTCGTTCCAGGACTCTTGTCTACTTTCCCACTTTATCAAATGTGCTTAATTTGATTCTCTTAAGCTGTCAGCAGTCTGTTGAAGTCTTACTAAAATGATTTTCTGTTATTTTAGTGAAACACCGAAAAAGTTACAGGCTGTGGACTCATTTTAATGCCTCTTCCATGAATTTCTTAAATATAGATGCTCCACTAGGCAGAATCCATAAAATAAATCTGATGAACACTTTTATTTGTTCCTTAAAAATTTTTTTCCACACTGTTGATTGCAGATTTGTTGTTTGTCTCATAGTTTTCCCAATTATGAACATCAGACTAATTTTTCAATTTCTAAATTCCCCATTTATCATCATGTACAGGTTGAGTAGCCCTTATGTGAAATGTTTGGGACCAGAAGTGTTTCAAATTTCAGATTTTGTGGGGTGTTGAAGTGTATTTGCATATATACACTGAGGTTTTCTATGGAATGGGACTCAAGAGTAACCACAAAATACATTTGTTTCACATACTCTACTTCTACATAGCATGAAGGTGATGGTGTACAGTGTTTTTAGTTTGCCTTGATTTTACCTGGGGTCAAGCATGGGAGTTTCTATTTATGGCTTCATGATGCTGCTCGAGTTTTGGATTTTTGAGCATTTTTGATTTCCAATTTTCAGATAAGTGATACTTAATCTGTATTTATGTTTATTTTGTTATAAATGCTTTTGGACTTAAATACAATAAATATAAATACAAATAAAATCAGAAAAACTTGATTACATTTTCAGCCCTCTGTGCACCTTTCAACACCTTCAAATGCTTCTCAAGCCAGTTCAGCTGGTTTCCTCACTCCATTAGAAATCAAAGCTAAAGTGGAAACAGATGATGGGAAAAAAAATTCTGTGGATGAACTTCGAGCTCAGATTATTGAATTGATGTGCATTGTTGAAGCACTGAGAAAGGATCATGGGTAAGTAGTCCTCTTTACTCCTGTCAGCATATTTAGTACACACATAAAGAATTCTTTCACACTCTGCCATAATCGTCTGATTTGCCAGTCTCTGGTATGTGTAAGTAAGTTTTCAAAGAAATCTTTAACATTTAATTTGACAAAAAACTTGGATTGGAAATCTTGTTCCAATAGTTCAGTAGAAAATGTTCATATATACCTATATGTTTAGGGTAGAAATGTTTTGGTCTGACAAAGAATTAATTAGGCTTGAAAATATTAAGAAAACTGTGTTGTATTTTAGTTTTAGTGTACATCTGTACACACAGTCAAACTTAGCTACCTTGGAGACTTTGATCATTATCTCTGCTAGGGTTAAGTTGAATATATAATAAATGAGTTGAGATAGATGACCTCTAAAGCCTTTAACTTTGAAAATTTTTGATATGGGATATGGTAGGATGTACCTAATTGGAGTTAGGGACTTCTTAGAGCTAAAATAAATTGAAAAGATTGCCTACTGTCCTTTTAAATGAGCAAATACAGATTTGGAAAAATAAAGCTATTTACTTATAATTATGTAATCCTTAAATGACAGCTAAAACTCGACCTCATTATCTTATTATCTATTTTTTCAGAGCTCTTTTCTATAATTAGAAGTATTTGAATTTTAAAATATGGCATTTTCAGGATAACCCTGCAGGAGCCCTATAGGAACACAGATCAGAGAGAAGCTCCTCTGACTGACCTGTGGGTGAGGATGCTCTCCTTTCGTGGCAACTTGGCCTCCGAAAGGATTTCTTGGAACAGGATATGAAATTCACACCCAGAGGCCATGATTCCTAACAGCCCAGTTTTAACCATTTCTTCCTCAATGAGCCATTGGTGTGGGAGTCTTTATAAAAAAAACCATACTGAAATTATCCATATGAAATATTTGTAGTTTGTCAAACATTTTTAGAAATGTTTCTTAGATGGAAACAGAAGAATGTATTTTGAATAACACTTATACTTACAGTGTATATTATATGTATACTTACAATGTATATTATATGCATTATATATATTATCGATATAATATGTGTATTATAAATGCAGAATTTGTTATTTGATACATGATATGTCTTTCTTGAGTCCTTCAGTTTATTGTGTTGAATTTTTTCGGGAGATTTTGAAGTATACATATTAGAGATAATAAGCTCATTCCTTAGTAAATATTTATTGAGTACCACCTATATACCAGGTAGAGAACTCTCCTCTTTTACACCTGTGATACCAGTGTGCTATTTTAAAAATGTTTTTTATTAGTGCCTATTAATTATACAGAATTTAGGATTTCATTGTGGTATTTTCATATATGCATATAACATACTTTTATCATATATCCCCCTGTTGCATTCCCTCATTCCTTTCCTCTTGTCAAATAACAACCTGCTATCTACTTCATTTCTCCTACTTCATGGGAAAACATGTGACACTAGTCTTTCTGAATTTGGCCTATTTTGTTAGTATGATGATCCTTAGTTCCATCTGTTTTCCTGCAAATGACATAATTTTATTCTTTATGGCTAAATAACACTCCTTTGTGTATATATTCCAACATGAAGGACTTAACGGTAATCTATCTATTCTTTATTTTTAGGAAAGAACTGGAAAAACTGAGAAAAGATTTGGAAGAAGAGAAGGCACTGAGAAGCAATCTAGAGGTAATGTATTTCTCCCAGCATCGAGCTATTTAGACGGCGTGCGCCCCCAACGGTGTGACTGCTTTCGCTGTGGGCAGGCTGTCCTGCTTCAGTGAGACACGCCCTGGGCAGTAGCACTTCATAAATCTCTTGTTGACTCGCTGTCACATTGTATTGATTAAAGAGTTTTTGAACACTTCACTCTCCTGGGAAGTGTGTGAATCATAACATATTTACTTGTAAATAAAATAAAAATGCCCATTGCCTCTTAAGAGTGTGTGGTTCTTCTTTGATCTATAGTTGTCTTTTTAGCTGCAGTTAAGTTAACTTTTTCTCTCTGTCTTTTTCCTGTCCTGTCCTCCCTCATAGGCCCTGCCTCCCATTTCTCTCTGAGCAGTAACTTCATCTTTATTCTCTGGTGCTGATGACCGTTAATTTCACCTATTTCCTTTATATTCCTTAACTTTCTTTTTCTCTTCATTTTGTCTCCATTTGTGTTTGTTGTTCTTTATATAGCAGAAAGTTGGGTCCTGCCTCTTTCCAAGACTCCTGCTGTTCCCAGTTACAGCATTTGTGCCTTCTCTCCTTTGGCCTTGCCTTTCGGCTTCACCTCATAGAGCAGGAGACCGTCTGGGACTGGGGTGCAGCGTTGAGCCCCTGCTGCAATGTGCAGTCCTGACTGTCTTTAGTTCTGAACTGTGTGCATTATCTTGCTTGGTATACGTGCTATTCCAGTCAGAAAGGTGAGGAGATGAGAGTTCGGAGTGGGTAAGTCACAGCAGTGGAGCTAGAGTTATGTAACATTTGTACCGGAAGCTGCCAGAGGTCAGTCTTTGCTTGTAGGCTTTGTTACAGTGTGGACTTGGAGAAGTCACTTAACCTGGCTAATCTTTAGCTTTCTGCGTTGAGATAGTATGTGAAGGTGCTTTGTAAATTAGCAAAACTCCATTTTTACTCTCATATCTGACAAGTTATTTTGGGGATACACCTTTTATTCTTTTATATGAAAATACTCTTAATTTTCTCTTTGTGAGAAACAAAAGCCATCTTTCCCATCTGTCTACCCTGTTGATCTACTTTGTTTTCTCTTTTTATTTGTGGTTCATTTACTACCCAAAATAAAAAGAAATAATCTCCCATCCACACATCAAAAAATAAAATACCGCCCCCCCAAAAAAAAACCCTGCATTTGAGTCTCAAATGCTTTGCCTTCAGTTCAGTGTTTAACTTTTTTCATTTGTGATTAGGCTTCCTGCTGCCGCTCTGTTGTCCCCACTCCACCTTTTGCAGTAGTCTCGTTGATGTTGCCACCCTGCCAGAGGTTTGTCATTGTTTTGCGATGCTGTGTTCCCTGGGTCCAGCTTCTCTTCCCTTTGTGTTTGTTGTAACTGAATATCGTGTTCTGTCGCTGCTGTCCTGTGCCCCTCTGTGTGCTCACTTTCCGAGCTCTTTTGCACCAGGGAATCTCATGATGAGCAGTGCATCTCCCTGTAATCTAGCTCTTGTTTTCTCTGTTTCTGTCCCATGTGTCTAGCTGTTCCTTTCCCTAAATGTTCCATTGTAAATTCATTGTGCTTCCAGTTTATCATTGTCCTCTCCTGCTCTTTTGATTTTTTTCTTTGTGTTGAAGGTGTCTGTTACCTTGCTAATCACACACAGGTGATACTTCTCATCTCTTCTGATTTCATTCACTTTCAGTCCTGTTTGCTTTATCTCTTAACTTTTACCTTTTTCATTCACACTTTTTTTTTTTTCTGATGTTCTTTGTCTTCCACTTGGCTTGTTTGAATTTCATTCTTATCTCAGATCAGTCTCTCTTGGCTTAGGTACTTTCAAGAGTCTGGTAATTCTTTGTGAGTAGAGTTCAAACTCTCAAATTGGATGTGAGTTCTTACCTTACTCCGGTCACGCTTTATCTTTGTGCCTGAACATTGGACACCTCTGGAGTCTGCTCTTCCTATATTGCCCTTGATGTCTTTGCCTTGTTTTCCAGTGCTTATTTCTGTGTTCTTCAGAATTGGCTCCCAAGAGCTCCCTTCGCCGCACTGGTTCTCTTCCTCTGATTAAAATATAGCTTTAGTTTTCTCTCACATTCATGTCTCTAGTTTTTATAGAGATGTGTCAGTAGTAACTTTCTGTCTTCTCACAGCTTTGTCTTTATTTTGCTCCTTAGATTACAGGAAGGTTTGCAGTGAGATCGTGTCTGCTTCATCTTTTCTGTAACTCCTAGCATAGTACTTCATGCATTTCAGATAACAGCTAATAAATTGTTGAATTAGTCAGTGTTGGAGGAAGCATGTTTTAAATATATCCTAAATTCCCAGGGTGTTGCTTGGTAGAAATTGAGAAATTTAAGTGTTTCTGAACTTTTTAATGTTTTATACGTGACATGTTCATATTCGTACATGAAAATGGTAAATAATAGGAGCTAATAGTGTCAAATTTGCATATATGATTTAATTTATCATGAAAATCAGGACGGAAGGCAAATGAATTATTTCTTTAAACTCATTTTTCCAAAGTTCTCAGTTATTGGATGCCCACTGATTGGTATATTTTTTCCTCTACTAGGCATATATTTGTAAAAGCACATTTAATGCATTGAAGTTTCAGGATCATATATATAGTTAGGAGAAGTGATGTTTGTCTGGAGGTATAATGTTAGCATCACACAGTATTAAATTATACTGGGCAGGGATAAAAGATGACTAAGAAGGAACAGTGAACATTGCTAGAAGAGAGAGTAGCAATGTAAGTATTTGCCTCATAACTATATTTGTCAGAAATCCAAGTTTGTAAGGAATATTACTGACTTTACATGTAGGATTTTTTTTTTAAATTTTTTATTCCTTATGTACTGGCTTTGAGGTAGGATGAGGATTGTAGGAGGAGGATTCTTAATTTGTGGCCAGGCTGAGCTACATAGCAAGCCCATCTCAAAGAAACAAAATTTGGTATGATTAATGTGTCTTTGGAAAAAAGAATACTAGTATATTAGGTGGATGATTTAAAGGTATTTTATCAGAATGGAGGTTGGAAACTGATGCTTGTTCCAGTCAAGTGCTGCTAAGATATTTAGCTCATGATCATATTAAAAAAATATCAGGAAAGATCCTCGGATCAATAAGCCATTCGTGGATATTTAGAATTCCTGAGGAGATTGTGAGCGTATCAGAATTATGCTTTCTGACTTTGGCAAAGTCTCCTGATTTAGTGAGGAACGGTTTGTCAGGTGTATTGTCTTTTGCATGGCCGTCTGGAGACAGCAGGGCCTGCACATATGCACACACAGTGAAAGGTCAAGAGCATTATGGTTATGACGTTCCTACACCGGGAAGAAAGGCAGTACAGAAGTGGGGCTTTGTTGGCCTAGACCAGGGATGGTGAACCTTTCAGAGACTGAGTGCCCAAACCTGCAACCCAAACCCACTTACTTATCGCAAAGTGTCAATACTGCATTTAGACTTGAATACTGAGATTTTAGGTTAGAAAAAAGAACTGTTATCCGATGCTTGGCTGCTGGGGTGACCTGGCTTGCATGCCAACAGAGAGGGCACTGTGCCGTATATTCGCCACCACTGACCTAGACCTTCCTGCTAGAACCCTGTGTCAGGTGCTCATGTGGAAACATGGCATGCTGTTTAAGATCTTTAGTGGTAGTGCTTTCATGTGTAAATATATGGGAAAGTGAAATAGTTCCCAGTAGTTATTGTGAAATTTTCTTTTTTCAAAAGTTCCTTAATTTTAAATTTCTGTTAAGGGAAGGATGTCCTCTGCTATGCTTAAAAATACTTCCATCACGTTGGCTAAATCTAGATATATTCCCAGGCTTTAACGATAATTACTTTAGTGTCTACTCTTTACAGATGAGAAATTTGAACCAGGTCATGTTACGTGATTGAATATTGTCACATAGGTTAGTGAAGAGCATGAAAACAACTGGTCCGTTATTCCCTTTTCTGTTCCATACTGCCTCCTCTGATTATTCGGATGTATGTTTCTTAATTTGGTTTTGAGGGTTCTCTCGTTCTTTGCAGGTGTAATTTTCTTAACAATCCTTGTTTCACATGCTCACGTTACTCGTTAACATTGTTCTCGCTGAAAGAATTGCAGTTCTTGTTACTGCCATTAGGGCCTTGCATTGGGACGTTTCCTGTTTGTTCAACAGTTGTATCACCTCAGTTGGAAATTAGAATTTAGATCTGGAAATCAGAACCTAGAGGCTTAAAAAAAGTATGATCACATGTTAATGACATAGGGTAAAATAAAGGAAATTTACTCAACAAGACACTTCACCTGTTGATCAATTAATGTTTTTATGTTTTAGGTGGAAATAGAGAAGCTAAAAAAGGCTGTCTTATCTTCTTGAGGTGGCATCGACCCAGTGTGTTAATGCTCGAAGGAAGGATTCAGAGGCAACACTATGACTTGGACTTTAAAACAACTGACTGCGACTTTAAAACATCAAATGCTGGTGTTGTGATATAGAAATACAAGTATATGAACTATAATGTCTATTGAAAAGTTAAGGGGAGGGTAAAATTTTTATATATATATATTTTGTTTTGCCAATATGAAATGAAAAGAGGCCTTATTTCTTACTGTGCTGGGATTGCAAACATTTTTGTTTGTTTGCTTGAAAATACTACTGAGTCTGTATAAAAAGGAAAGAAAATTCATAATAGTTTTTTATTGAAACGTGTATTATTTTTAAAGAGATCTATACTATAAATATGGTGATATCTTTCCAAATAATCTGTAAGATAAACTATTTGAGAGGGGGGACAAATTAGCTTTATAGTAACTATAATCACTACTTTCCCCATAATACATAAGGGATATAAACTATGTGTGTACATATATACATATATACATATATATATATTTTTACTTTAAGCTTCTTATCCAGGATGACACTGTTGTGCCCATTTGTCTGCAGTGCTGTTTATATTTTGGGTGATGAAATCGGAGTTTCCTAGTTATAAACTAGATTACTCACCCAAGCATATCATAATAACTAATGAAATAATTTAAAAATTTCAACTTTTAAAGTATTTTCTATTGCTGCACTATAGGATTCATAAAAGGAGTTTGATTAAATGTATTGGGTTGTTCGACATATTTGGGAAAATGATGAGCTTTATTTTAAATTCATTAGATCTAAGGAGTCTAAAAATGTCCATTTAACCCTTTACTTGTACGTAGAAACTGCGGCACATAAGGAATGTGCAGACACAGCCTCCTTGCTGTACTTTTCCGCTTCCCTTGCAGTCTCACACAGTGCTCATCTCACTGTCTGGTGGTGTAGTTCTTCTTCGCTCCTTCCTGTTGCTTTTCCTGGTTCTTCATAATGGCCATGTTAGGAAACAACCCCCCCCCCCAGCTCCTCACAGCCTCACGGTGAGGTTTCCTGGTGGGCACTTGTCACCATGTGAATACTCAGGTTTTTACCGTGTGTAATGTATCTAGTACCCACACTGACTCTTGGAGAGATGTTGGACTGTAATTTAGGTAAAAACTTTAGAAAAAGGGTTAGGTGTCATTACAGTTTACTTAAAACAAATACACTTGACTGTATTAAAAAGACATCTTCACAGGTGTATTTAATGAATTTCCAGTTTCTTCAGAGTCACCCATGAACAGTTGAACATATTAAAATGTATTGGTGGGTGCTATGTCTAAAACATGAGTTTATTACAAATTCAAAAATTTGAAATTTCATTATCTACAGAACAGTTAAATTTTAAGAAATGTATAGCAGGAGTGTCAGGGTTTGAGTACCGGTTATCATGCTTCCAGCTTTTGTTTTAAGCTACTAAACAAATATTTCTCCTTTATGTTTTACTCTCAAAACACAGGAATTTTGTGTAAATGAAATTTTGTCATGTTTCAAATAAAAGACAGTTAAAATAGAAAATAATGGAAATGCCCATACCCAATTACTCTCTGTATATATTCCCAACTTTTGGGGCTTTGGGGGAAAGCTAATTGTGCTTTGAATATGTACGTTTTAACTATTTATAGCTTGGGGACTTCTCCAGTGAGATCACTACTGAATAAAATTACTCTCTTCTGTTTTATTTTTAAATGACCAATTGAATATTTCCGTCTTGTTAAAGAAATTAGATCTTTTAATAAGTCATCAGAAGAAGTGAGGACTTCATTCTCCATCTCTCTTACTGGAAGATCTACTCAGTCAGCCCTCCCCACCTAATATGTGGTAAGGGAAGGTTCCAGCAGATTGTTGGCTTTTTTTTTTTTCTGTCGTTTTTGTATTCGTACTCCATGAAACCAAGGCGACAGTGAGTCTTGACATAGAAGCTTCTGCTTGCCTGCTGTTCAGCCAGAATAGACGAGTTACGGAAGTTCTTTATATTTTTCTGCCCTTTATAAAAAGCAAGCCAAGCATGCTCAAATTTAAAGAAGAAAATTTCTTTAGTGTAGCAAATATTGCAGTATTTGCTCTTGATATAACTTGTTACTGTTTCTAAGGTTCATATCACAAAATGATAACTATAGCCTTTACTGGGAACAAATCATTAGTTTTGCTCCTACTTGAGAGTATAAATAACAGACTAAAAGTGTCCAGCACAGAACTGTCGTTGCCAAATTAGTAGTGAATGTATGGTTGAGGTTTCCTATTTCTTTGAAACATAATATTACTAATTGTATTTCAGTTTTTTGTTGTTTTTCTGTTTTGGGTGTGTTTGTGACCACCAAGCTTCTGTTTTCTTGTAAAGCTGTTACCTCTAAGAATTTTGCAGGACTTTGCTGAAGATGCACAGAGAGGAGAGGCCTTGTGTAACAGATTTCTCTTTTTATGCTTTTTAGTGTGATCACAAAGGAAAAAATCCAAGTGCTTTGTAGGGTTTTTTTGAGAAATATTTTGTGCTTGCATTTAAACCTGAAATGTATGAGCAGAATAAGACAATCAGTGAAAATCAGAAATGAGAAGTGTTATAATTTAATGGCCTTATTTTGCAGTGGGAATAAAATGACCAAGTGCAATGACTCAATAAAATCATCTTGTAAAAGTTGCTGCTATGAATATTTTTAGCTATAAAATTTTATTCTTATTTTAGACTGACTTGACATCAATAATTCATGTAATACAGTTGATGTGGTAACATTCCAAAAAAACTCATATACATACATACATATATATGTGTGTGTGTGTATACATACATACATACATACATATATGTATATGTATATATATGTGGGGTATTCAAGATAGTGTACTCACTGAGTTGTTTACAGGAGCTATAAAGAAACAAAAGCAAAAAGACAGCATACTCTCCCTCAAAGAAAAATGAATAAAAAAGAATTGTATTGCCAGTTGTGTCTTTATTGGTTATTCTTCATTAATTTCAGCATATGCTTAGAGTATGAAAATTGTATTACTTTGATTTTTCCAAACAAAAGAAACAAGTAGTACAGTGACAATGTGAAAAGTTCTAGACCTGGGCCGGTATTTAGTTCAGTGGTTCTGCTGCCTGCTTCAGAAGTATAAGGACCCGAGTTTGATCCCTGGTACCAAAAAAAAAAAAAAAAAAAAAAAGTTCTAGACCTGTGTGACTTGTACTGAACTGCAGAAAGAGAGACGTACTCTTAGCAATGAGAACAGATTTATTATTTCTGAGGGTTGTTTCGTCTAAACTAACTCTAACCCTTACTGGACAATAGGAAGAATTCAGTGATTCATGTGAACTGCCTTGTAGAGTGCTTGGCATGGAATTGATTAAGAAACAAACCAACCTGGAAGTTGCTCTTTTATTGTCCTCAAAAGCTTTTTAGTGTTGGATAGGTTGTGAATTAGATGGAGAAGATGAAGAGAAAGGAGGCCTCATACAGCGTCCCTTTCCTCCATCCTGCCGGGGTCTGTTGCACAAGGGTCACTGCTTTCTTTGCTAATGGAGTGTACTTGGCTCAAACTGAGTTGTGCATTCACCAGACTGAGGCTTTAAACAGGAAACAAAAGGGCCAGTGTCAATGTAAGAACTCTCCACAGTTAGATTTTTCCATCATCTGCAAAAAGTTGAAAGGACGATTGAGAAGATCCTAAGGACCTTGAAGTGGGATCCAGAAGGCTTCTGAATCTGACCCCAGCCCTCACTGAGCCTCAGTTACCCACTGCCTGGTCCTCATGCACAGACTTCTCATGAGCTTGCTGGGTTTCTGGACCCGCTGCTGAACACGTCTCCTTGCAAATAGAGAATAGGTGGTTGGAGAGGGCCTCAGGCGTCCGGCAGAGCGCTTGCCTGGGTGTGCGAGGCTCTTTGCTCTCCGCTGCACATACGGGAGGCTGCAGACTTGCTGGAAATAGGCTGTGTCCAGGGTGCTGGGCTTTCTGAAAGGGCTGGAAGATTTGGAACAGACTAGAATGCAGAGGAAGCCATGTGGAAAGTAACTTGACACTTCAGTGTGAAAGACTTGGGGTTGCCTTTTATTCTGCATAAACAAGAGGCAGATGTGTCTGTGTGTGAGGTTCTGAACCTTGGAAGTGCAGTGTGGGCCTAGAAATGGTCTAATCCAGTCCCCGTACAGATGGTTGTGTCTGGGGTACGGGTTTCAGATTTATTCTCATTTTAAGGACAGCAGCAGTTTAACTCCTGTGGGTCTCTTAGACTTTAATATTTAACATAAGGAGAGATGGGGCTCGGGTATTGAAAAAGTTTTCTGAATCTTAAATCATCATTATTTTATTGCTAACCCTCTTTTTTTTGTTTTCGTACCAGGAATTGAACTCCAGTCCTTGTACTTGCGAGGCAGGCGGCAGCACCACTGAGCTAAATCCCCGCCGTATTGTTAACCCTCTTACTGTGAATCTGCTTACTTCATAAAAGGAAAGTAAACTTAGAAATAGGTGTCAGGATTTTAGTATAGACCCAATTTTTCTACTGTGCAAAACTGATGTGGTTATTATTTTGCCATCATTGGATGGCATTCTTGCCTATAGAGTCCAGAGCCTTTTATTTAAAAAAAAAATATTTATTTATTTATTTATCAGGTACATTTTAATACCTTCCTGTTGGTTTAGGCATTTTATTTATTTATTTATTTATTTAAGTACCAGAGATTGAACTTGGGTCCTTGCGCTTGCAAGGCAGGCCACCGAACCACTGGGCTAAATTCCCGGCCCTTTTTATTTATTTTTAAAATTAATTTTATTGGTACATTTAACATGTATAATATAATGATATTCATCGTTGGAAATTTGTACCTTTACGTAGTCAATCTATGACTGACCCTGCTCATTTGCGTGCTGAGGACTATAAAGGGAGACATACTCTTAGGGAAGACAATGGGCTTATTAAGTGTTTTTTGTTGTTGTTGTTTGTTTGTTTTTTTGAGACAGGGTCTCACTATGTAGTTGAGACTGACCTGGAACTCACTATGTAGCCCAGGCTGGTCTTGAACTCCTAGCGATTCTCCTGCCTCAGCCTCCCGAGTGCTGGGATTACAGGCATGTGCCACCGTGCCCAGCCTTATTAACAGTGTTTTGAGATAAAGCAGATTTATAGTTCTCTCCCTCTTGCTTATCCTTATCCTTTCAGCAAATAATTGACAACATTCAACAGGGAGTAGATACAAGTATCTTTATAGAACAGTATCTATCAGAGGTCTAACAAAAGTTCTGAGAAAAGACGATTAAAACCTGTTTCACAAGATCTGTGTCACCATCTGTTAAGTTATGAAGCTTAAGGATAATGTGCATTGACTCACTAAAAGTTGAAAATTTTAGGGCTGAGATTGTAGCTCAGTGGTGCTGTGCCTGCCTGGCAAGCCGAAGGTCCCGAGTTCTATTCCCAGTATGGGCAAAAAAAAAAAAAATTAGATACAATATAAGTAGGGAATGTGTTTAAAGCTCTCCAGACACTGAAGAAAGACAGCCAGGCCAGATGCGATTGTAGCTTTTTTTCACTGATAGTGGGACAGGTTCCCTGTGTCTTTTGTGAGTCCAGCATCACTACTATCTAATCCTGACCACCACAGACCATTCCCACTCATGAAGGACCTAGCAAGGGAGATTTCCCTGTCTGTGCAGTATGTAAAGTTCCGAGAGAAGAGAGGCCCAGCAGGCTGAGGTGCACCGGGTCAAGCAAGGCGCTCTGGTTGGGGCAAGGTGTTGAGCACCCGTGAAGGCCCAGCAACTCCACCACCTGCCTGCGTTTCTGCTGTTCCACCACAAGCACACAGTTTTGGGAAAGTAGCTTTGACTTTGTGGACCACACTTGTGAACTGCTGACCTTAGAAAGCCTGGAACAGCTCCAACAATCAGTGAATGTGTAGTAGATGAACCAGGAGACCAAAGGCGAGGTTGGCTCTGCTCTTTACCTTCCTCCGCCTGCCTTCCTGTCTTCCCTCTGTGAGTATATAGGCACTGGGCTGCACCTTCTCAAGGCCATCACGCCAAGCGCCTCCAGGGGCCCTGCACCCAGCCTTACCGTGTCTGCTGTATTCCTCACTGGACTTTAAGCGGTCACTTCACCGTCAGGCTTACATTAATTTCATCTTTACAATAGGGAGTGTGTCACCCACTCCTAGCCAAGATTGGTACTGTGCTTACCAAGCATGATTCCAAGCAGTCACTGTCTTCTGTCATCATTGAGCCATCCTGAGTGCTGTTAATGTCACCCTTCACAGACAGGAAATGGCTCTGGTTAAGCAGCTCTGCCAGGACCACCAGCCAGGCAGGGCTGGGGCCACTGTGGAGCCAGGCATCCCAGTTCTCAGCCTTGACCTAGCATCTCCTGGGACGTGATGGCCAGAGAGGGAGTCAGAATAAGGTGTTAGAATATCCTCTAGTTTCACTTTTTCCCTCTTGATGATCCTTTAATTTCTGAGCATCCAGTTGTTCCATTGGAAAGAAAATTTTGGTGATCCTGCAGACTTTATATTTCTCCATTACATGGTTGCATATAAAATTCGAGGAAACATCCTTCATTTCTGAGTGTACATTTTTGCAAACAATATTCATGGCTTGTTTCATGGCAAAAGCATGAAAAACAAAAAAAATCCTACTTCCATAAAGACATCAAAGGGCCACTAGGTGGCAGTCCAAGCCCAGCTTTGGAGACAGAGGCGGGTGTCTGTATGTTTGTGGACGCCTCACTCCAGACACACAGAAGGAGCTGGGGCATTTGCAAATAAAACCATTGCACCTGGCCATTGAACACACCCAGAATGACCTCACCGGCCTGCCCAGCCATCCCCAAGCACAGTGCCACCTGATAGAGGAAAGCAGACTGATGGATTGTGGAATTCACCCGGCCTGGCTCTGAAAGTGAGTGGCTGTGTGCTTTTGGCGACTGGCTTCCCATTTTGTCTATTCTCATACCTATGAGAGATGCAAAGAGAATTCTTGCCACCACTTAAAGCCTTTCCCTCTTGTTCCACACATGGGGAGAAAGGTGGCAGCCAGGTCAGGTGACATACAGAAGGGTCCTGTCTTGCTCATTCCTGGGGGATGTCTGCCTCAAAGGTGCCTGCTCTCCGGGTGGCCCAGGGCTGTTTGCCAGACCACCCTTCTCTGTCTCCATTTTGTCTGGTGGGTGCTCCTGCCTCACCCAGCCCAGGACAAGTCACAGAATGTGGCCACTGACCCCGTGTGGCTGCTGGGTTCGGCTGCATGTGGACTGACGTGGAGAAGGTGTGGCTTTCGGATTGGGTGTAAAAGAGCGCCTGGAGGGGTTTGAAGGCGTGCTCTACACCAGCAGGGCTGTCAGAGACACCGAGATGCATTTAGGGCACTTGGGGACAATGGCAGCAGCATGGCTTGAAGGGCAGGGTCCTGGGGACTGGTCCTGAACGGCAGTTCCTCCTGGAAGTCAGATGAGGACTCAGAACGGCTCTTGTAAGCCTAATGCTCTGGGGCTGACGAATAGCTCCGTGTGTCCTTGCCGGTCAACCTTTGTGGGTGTGTGTCCAGCACCGGTGCTCCTAGTGGGTGCTGCTAGGGTTTTGCTAAGTGTCCCTCAAACACCCCTGTGCTGGAGGCCTGGGGCCCAGCGGGAGGAGGATGCACCTTTGAAGTGGCATTGGCACCCTGTCCCTTCTCTCCCTCTCTTATGCCAGCTGCCCCACCACAGTGGGCTGCTGCTTCCCAGGCCATGGTTGTGGGCTGGACCACTGGAAGTGTGAGCCAAACAGGCCCTGCTACTCCCTCCCCTACAGCTGCTGGCCCAGGTGGGCAATGGGGGTGAGGACAGAGAGCATGCATCTCCTCTCAGCCCTGTCCCGGGGCCCAGCCTCATCCATCTCTTGTCCCCATGACTGGTGACCACAGTGGAGGCCATGAGGCTGACCCAGACCCCACAGGTCCTGTGTGCATACACATAGCCACAGAATGAACAGAATCAGCATTTCCTGCCACCATTTGAGCATGCTTAATGAGGAAAATGAGTGACACGTGACACTGGTTTGGGTGCTATCTGGGTAGGATGCTAAAATTGTCAGTTAAGCTGTTTTGACTACAAGTAACAGTGGCAAAAACAGTGGCAGAAGTTCTGGGAACACTTTATTTTAAAGCCAGAGGCTACTGATCCGAGCGTGAGTTCTACACTTTGTTGATATTATCAAGGACCAAGTGTTTTCCATTCCCCCATCCTCAACACATCGGAGTATTCCTCAGGCTCATTGCCTCATGGTTGCAAGGTGGCTGCCCTAGCAGCAGACACTGCATCCTTTCACAGTTGCTAGAGCCAGAAAGGAGACAGGAAGTGAGGACAAGGTGACTTTTTTCTGAGTTTAGCTCTGTCACATTTTTAGAAAAACATTCTCCCTAGAACTTTCCTTGCCTCACAGCAGATGGAAGTGGTTGTCTACCTACATTAGTTCAGGGACCAGCAGTGGGCCTAGATTTTCACGACTGGTCAAAAACAACCGTGCGTCATCAAAGCCGGGTTTTGGTAAGAAAGATGGCACCATAGCTTTGAGTCTGTGAGTAATGGCAGCCTCTTCCCAGATGGCTTCTCTAAGCTGCAACATAAACCATTCGGAGGTGCCAGGGTTGGGTGCCCCATCCTGAGGAGGCTGGTGATGGGGAATAGATCAGGCAGGAGATGCCTGAGGGCATGTGAGTCAGCCGGAGTGTAGCACGGGTGGGGATGGGCGTGGCCCCAGGCTGCAGCAGGGGCCTCAGAAAGCAGAGGGTGCGGCCCAGCGTGTGCGTGTGCGTGTGTGCACGGGCACGGCAGGAAGGGCAGGCCAGGCCTTCCGCCTCAGGGAGAAGCCCAGCGGGGAAGCAGGACCAGTGTGAGGAGACCAGGGCCGACGAGGGAATATGTCCGGGGCCCAACCTCAGGGGGAGCTGCTGAGGGTGCACGGGGTCAGCAGGTCACTCTGCACCCAGGTTTGGGCATCATCAGGGCAGGAGACTGGTCCGGGACCTGCCCTTTCCGGTCCAGAGCCCCTGCTCTGTCTGTTCACCCACAAGTGGGCTTGGGCTTGGGTGACCTCCAAGAGCACATCCGTCTCTCGGTCCCAACAGACCCTGCGCCCCACTGAACCCCGATTGTGTGCTGAGATGGAGGCCGTGTCCCACACAGCACCTTGGGTGTCGCCCGGCTGTGACTCACCTCTGCCCAGCACCCACCCTCCGAAGCAGGACCAGTCTGTCAGCCCAGGGCCTCTTCAGTGACCAACCGCCTCAGTGGCTGCGAAGAGCTGTGAGCCGGAGCAGATCGGAGCCGAGATACCATGCGCGGGGCTGAGAGGCTGCAGTTCCAGCTCCAGGGCAGCCTCAGGGTCTCTGACGCCGTGCTGGCAACCGTGGTGAGTACCCACGTCCTCTCAGTCCAGGAACCGGCAGCCAGGGCGACTTGGCTTTGGTCCCTTGGGACTAAACTAGTAATGCATTCGGGGGGCCAGTGTAACAAGGACTCTGGTAACCCAGGAGCTCTTCTCGTGACCAGTGGGAGTGCAGGCTGGTACGGACGCATCTTTGCTTTCAGGTCTTGTTCTGTTCTCTTCTGATGCTATTTGAGTTCCAGAACGGAGGAAACTGGAATCCACGAGCTCTAAGTGGCAAAGTGTAAACATCTAGGTTAATAAACAATTCGTATCCTTTCCCCATCAGAACTGAGAGCATCCTATCTACAATTTTGGTTTCTTATTACAGTTTCACCAACCTCAAACCACCTTGAAGCCAGAGGCAATACAGGTCCTCAGGAAACCCTCAAGGCCGAGGCATGGCCCGTGGCCCTGTTTCTTGGTCCTCATTGCTCTTTTCCTCAGACAACCCAAGATTTCTCCTGGTTCACAGGTGCAGGATACCTGGGCATGCACCTATGACACTCCTGTCCTTTCTGTTCCTAAAAATGGGATCAACTGGTGCCTGGGCTTCTTCCTTTCTTTCCCTACAGAATTCTCGATCAAAGTTCATTGATGTTTTTACCGTATAGACACATTGCCTTGGCAGTAGCTCCGGTAAATGATTTGAAGTTCATTTTCAGGAAGCCTGAGTTAGCCTTGGGAGACTTCACCCCTTTTGTCTCTCCGTGGATTGTACACTATGATCTCGCAGGTCTAAATCCCTCGGCCAGAGTGCTGGCACCATAGGGTCCCAGAACCAGTGCCTTTTGCAGAATGAGTGAACATTGGTACACAGAAACCAAGACATTTATTTGAGATGATGAGATCAAAGCAGCACCCCACATAGCCCGGAGACCAGTCGGTCCTTTTAAAACTGGACCCGGGAAGAGGAGTTGGGGGTGGGGGTTCCCCATGTGGAGATGAGAAACCCAACCCACCTCCCTGCAGAATGAGTTTGCAGGTTGGCTCTCATCACAGAATTTTCAAGATGGACCAGTAAAAGAATAAATGTATTCCTTAGGCAGTGATGTCAAAGCACATACTTAAAAAAAAAAAAGTGTGGGGCTCAGGAGCGAGGGGTACATTGTTTCCTGGAGCTGGGAACATTTCTTCTTCTCTGGAGAGGGTGGGAACCCCGGGAAAAGGTGGCCCAGACTCCCAAGGATCCTCACATTCCTGCTTTTTATTTTTTGTTTTGTTTTTTGCCTGCTTTTTACTTTTTAAAATTTAAGCCAATCTATGGGCTAACAGTATCCCTGAGAAATGTGAGTGTCGTGAGTCTAGAAGGAGAGGCGCTTACATGTACATGAAGAAATTGCTGGTATGGGTCTCCGTGGGTGACTTCAACTGGACCCCAGAAGTTGCAGCCTTCTTAAAAGTACGATTTTTAGTTATGATTTTCCTTGTCTTCTTTCTCCCTGTCTTTATTTCCTCTATCCTACCTCCAGGATGGCAGCAACGGGCCCCAGGACCAGTCGATAATAGGTACAGTGTCTACAGAGAATAATATTTCTAAATATGTTTAAAAAGAATAGTAGTGCAAGGGCCCGAGTTCGATCCCTGGGACCCAGAAAGTAAGTAAATAAATGCGTAAATAAAAAGAATAATAGAACTAAAAGTCAAGTTAAAAAAATCGTCAGCAGTACTCTCTGGCAACCCTGTGCCTCTTCTGCCTGCTTTCTTCTGGAAAGCTATTTCCAAATGCGGTGGGAGCGAAAGTCCCACCTTCTCAAGAAACACACTGTTACCAGTTCACCCTTACAGACTTTGAAAGCCTGGACTCCTCCTTGCTCACCTTAATCATCAGGACGGAGAGGACAAGCCATGTTTTTGGACATTTAAAGATTAAATTGTTTATCATCCACCGATCACTAAAGGAGCCCTGAAAGGATGTACTCCGGCAGGAAGCAAAGCAGATGGAAAGGGAAGAGATGAAATGCAAGGAAGAGTGTAAAGTGTAAGGAGCAGAGAAGGCTAAGAGCCTCCAGGATGGGGAGCAGAGAGGATGGAAACCCTGCCCAGTCACAGGTGTTAGAGGGGCCCTTACTTTTGTGTGGCCTTTTACTTTTTTCTTTGGCATTTTTTGAGACAGGGTCTCCTTATGTAGTCGCGACTGACCTGGAACTCACTATGTAGCCCAGGCTGGTCTCAAACTCATAGCGATCCTCCTGCCTCAGCCTCCCGAATGCTGGGTAAATTGCATGTGCCACCATGCCTGGCTCGGCTTTTTACTTTTGAATATGAAGTCAAGAGTGTTTTTCCTGTTACCATGTGTAAAATAGTCATAAATAGTTGCGTGCAACTCTCTTATCCCTGATTCTATGGGGAAGGGAAGGAGGGGTGGGAGCGGGAGACAGTTGAGTTTCATAGGAATCGGAAAACCTAAGTTGTAGTTGATAAAGCTCACCAGGTGCTGAGTGTGCCTCTCCCCCTGGTGGTCAGAGTGCAGATAGATGATCCTGCAAGCTCCCATCTGAGGACGAGGACAGAGAGCTCCCCCTGCCCAGTGAGCGTAGCCACAAGGATTTCCATTGTGTAACTGCTGGAATCATGCTTTTAGGAACATCTGTAGGTCAGATATCATTCTTTCTTGATGAGCTACTAAGTATGTGTGTATTTCCATAACCTCCTAACCACGATGTACTTTTACTTAGGCTTTGTCCTCTTGAGGGTGGAGGAGGAGTAGAAGTACGAGATGTTAGGGTTAGTTGTGAGACAAACACGGCTTTTATAGGGGGAAACGAAGTCTTTGGAAATCTTTGGAATGTGATGGTGGAGAGCTGTGGAATAGTTTGTGTCATGGAAGCTGATAAATCTTGAGACAAATTTTCCGGATGAGGCTGCCCTCGTTTTTCTGTTTCTGGACTGGCACCGAGGTGTTGGTGTTCCTGCTTTCAAGAAGGGGTCATCGTGGCTCCCTCTTGCTGTCATGTCCACACATTGTCTTTCTTTCTCCTGAAATGGAAGCATCGGCTTCCCTTTTCCTGCTTCCTTTTCCCTTTCTGAAGATTTTGTTTCCTCCATGGGTTGGTTAAGGGGGAAAGGATTGGAGCAAAACTTCAGAAATTATGCATTCTACTGCATTTTGAATTTTTGACTTTTTTCCTTTCAGAGGTTTTAATGTGTTCTGTGCAATTCTACCTCTTTATTCATTTTTTGGAATTAGAGACATTTTTGCTGGTTTTAGGTGCTGAAAAATATTCAGCTTCATTTCCAGATGGGTGAGAAATCAAGACAGAGGTTTCCCATGGTTGTGTATAAAGAATCTTGCTGACTGTTCTTCCTACTTATAGTAAAAGCTCTAGTCTGCTGCTACCTTGTACTACTGTGTTATCCAGGCCCTGCATAAGTATTGTTTTTAATATTTGTACAGTATTTCTGCATATGGATACCTCATAATGTGTTGCTTTGGCACTGTGTGACATCGCTGTGTTTCCACGTTGTCACTCTGCATGGGATGGCCATTGGTAAACCAGTGGGTTCTGCTGGGTGTGTGTGACAGTCCCGGGCCAAAGAGGCCGCAAAGAGCTGAGAACTGGGTACTACTCATCCCGAAACATAAACAGTGAGCGTGACATGTGCAGGTGGTGTGGGTGCTGGGCGCTGGATGGGGTGTGCACTGGGAGTCTTCCTCCTGTGAGTCACCAGAACCAAGGAAGGTTTCACCCGGGTGATGAGTAGTACCCAGTTCTCAGCTCTTTGTGGCACGTGCATGCACAGCGAGAAAAGCGTCTGACTCAAAATAGGCATAGAGAAGCTGGCCGAGGCTGGGCGACCAAGGAAAATGATCTCACGCTGACCCAACTGGGCTCCTGCATAAATCCAGATCTCACACATGTACCTGCTGTGTGGCTTGGAACTTAGATCGTCATCCTGGCTCCCAAGCATTTGGCTTGTTGCCCTGAGACAGCAGCTCTGCCCCTGACTACTGCTGAGGGAACAATGCCCACACTTGCCCAGGACGCCGCAAACCACGTAGCTGTTGTGTCCAGAGCTTTGTTGGAGGCGATGCCAAGTGCCCTCCACCTCCGGTGATAACACATGATGGTGCGGTCAGCCTTGTGACCCACCAGTGTCACATCTGTGGATCCAACCAGCTATGGATGAAAATAAATACATCTGCAAATTCCACCTGTACTGCGCATGCACAGATTTTTCTCCTTGTCATTATTTCTAAGCAACATGCTATAATAGATATTTACGTAGCGTTCACAGTGTGCAAGGCACTGTAAATAATCAGAGATGGTTAAAGGATAAAGCAGATGTACGTAGATCATACGCAAACACAATGCTGTTTCGTGTAAGGGATTTCAGAGTCCAGGGAAGATCCCTGCCCATCCCTCTGAATACCAAGGGACAGTGATTTTAGGTTAAAGTCCCAAATCAGGAATCAGAAGAAAATCGGGATCTCTCAAGAACTTGGAGTATGTCCTTAGGAAAGTGGCTTCCTGTCTGAACCTCTCTGAGAGAAGTAACAGATAATATTTGCTCTGCCCACCTCATAAAATAACAAGACATCAAGATGAATGCTTTATGTGAAAATGCTCTGAAAATTCAGTCCATAGAAAGATCAGCTCTTTCTTAGGTAGAAAAGCCGCATGATATTAAAAAAAAAAATCCTGACCTGGGTTCAAACCCCAAGCTTGTGGCCCGGTAACTGTGGGGTCAGGCAGGCAGCTCCCTGCTGCTGGAAGGTTGTGGAAGTCACTTCAGTAGCTCAGAAAAGAGCAAGGGTGGGGACTGCTGCACCCTGTTCCTCTGTGGTGGCTGCAGTCTGGCAGGACAGATACCTTGGTGTCTGCTAAGTGGCTTTTGGCTGGTTAATGACCAACACCTCATCTTCACCTCTGAGGTCATTGGAGTGGTACCCACAGTCGGCCTGGGAACCCCTACAGCCCATCTGGCTTGAAACCTCCACCATTCATTGCAAAGCCTAATTGTACAAGCAGTAGCAGTGATCTCACCCACAGTGCTGGGGACTGAAGTGTCCCCGGTGACCAATCTGATCTGCCTGGGGCTCTGTTTACCTTTGAGGCTGCTTTTCCAATAGTTGCTCTCTTTCTTAGTCAGGATGCAAGGGTTCAAGATGTAAAGTTCTTTCCACCCACTAGTACCTTTAAAAACCACTGCTCTTAGAGCTATATGTGTGTTTTCAGCCAAGCGAAGCCTGCGTCTAAGGACTGGGCCCCGGACAGGCCCCAGCACGCACCGCTGTCTCCCTTCTGCCTGTTTCGTCTCCTGCCAGCTGTGTGGCTTTGGGCTGGAGGATTTTGGTGGAGATATAAGAAGACATGTTTGAAGATGAAATTGCTGCTAAAGACAAGAGCTGTTCTGTGGAATGTGGACCCTAGAATACTTCTCTTCCTGTTGATTTCACCACTTTGCCCCCAGGGGTCAGTGTGGCCCTTTGGGTTGTGTCCCCAGTGGCCTGTGACACCCTGGCTCCGCAAGAGGCTGGAGAAGGAACCGTCTTTGTGGTTAAATTCTGGCTGTGAGGGTGCTGCTTAGAAATGCGGGGCTCCATTTCTGTTCACCAAACACATAGGTCAATTAATAACTTAGGTACCTTCTCCAGGTGTGGAAATAATCTAGACTGAAGGGTTGCAAATAGTATTTCTTTGCAGAACCAGCCAGTTTTCCAGAATGATGTATGCCTGCCTGCCCAGTTTCCTTCCTTTCCCTTTCCTTTCGTTTTCTTTCCTTCCTTCTTTCTTTCTTGACGAGGGGAAGGAATTTCTTCATTTTTATTTTTAAAAAACCCTATGTGTTGTGTTTGGTATGTTTTATCTTATGGATTTTCAGTTGTGAATCAATTGTTTTCTTTTGGAGGCTATGAATCCTACAAAGTGACTGTTTTTTAGGTCTTATGTTCTTAAGACAGAAGCCTTTTCGGAGATGAATGTTTGAAATGAACCAGCATTTGGAACTTCTGTTTGAGAGGCAACTGATTCTCCAGCTCCTTTCCAGCTGTATTCCAGCTGCCAGGCTGGCCAGGAATGGGAAGGCAGAATCTCAGACTCCCGTGGGTTTCCATGAGAAGAGAGAGTGGAGGCTCTGGGAACCAGGAGCTAGGTGGTCAAAATATAAGTCTTTAAGAAACGAGGGGCCAGGGATTTAGCTCAGTGGTTCCACCACCTGCCTGGCAAGCACAAGGTCCTGAGTTCAATCCCTGGTACCAAAGAAAAAAAAAAAAAAAAAAAAAAGTAGTAAGAAATGAGAAATTGCATGCTTTCTTTTATATAAGAAATCTAAAAATACATAAATATAAACAACTACAGAAACAAAGGAGAGAGGACAGAAAACTAGAAAGTAGTCTTCTAGTGATAGCGAAAGAGCTTAGGGTAGGAGGAAAGAGAAGGGCAGTGAAAGTGATCAGAATAAGCCAGGCACATGTACCAAGCCGCACTAACAAAAGAAGAACGAGAGAGCTATGCTGTCTTTACTCGCGTCAGACCCTTGGCTTCTTGTCAACTTCCCACTTTCACAGACTTGGAAAAAGAGCTGATGACAGGGAAGAAAAATGCTTTCCCTGAAGCCCAGGTTGATGGATTTAAGCAGATAATAGACGATTTAAAAGCAATGTGTCAAAATTTAATGTTTTCATAATAAAACGTATTATGTTTGCTTAGGAAAAAGCATGCACTGCATTTAAACAGCAATCTGTTTTTATCAGCTCCATGCACACACCCACACCCCCCCCAAAAAAAAAGAAAAAAAAGAAAAGAGTCAACTTTAGGAAATGTTCTTTTTGGCTAAAAGAATTGAGAAAAAGATGAAATGGCACAAGGAATTAGCCATGCTGTTGCTGGAATCCAGGCTGTGGGGCAAGACCGTCTTCCCGTTTTCATTTTCTATCCCATACCCAGGTGGACCAGGCAGGCAGGAAGTCACAGCCTGGGGTCCAGCAGGACTCTGAGGAGGCCACCTGCAGCCCCATGGAGATGTGGCCATGTCCGACGACTGACAGGCAACCCACAGAAAACACAAGCACCCCTTTTGTCATAGGTAGAAACATAACAGTAATAATCCAAAAGCGTTTCTGATGATTGGTAAACCTGACTATCTTTAAAACTTAAAGCAAAATAATAATGTGACAAAGCCCTTTCTTTCCAATGCAACACATTAAAATTTTAAGCCAACAAAATGATCCTCCTCTTGGTTCCCAGAGCTCAATGAATCACTCAACCACACCCCACCTTTTTTTTTTTTTCAAGTAAAAGTGTACTTGAGTTTCTGGGCGGAAGGGCGCAAGCTTGTTGTTTATGTCATTTCTTAAATAACTTGTAAAACTTCTTTCAGTTAAGAGTGAAAATGCTCTGTGTGCTGAGATATTTTTTTGGGAGGATACTGGGACTTGAACTCTGGACCTTACACTTGTGGGGCAGGTGACAGCCCCACTGAGCTATGTCCCTGACCCAAGATGGGAATTTTTACAGATAAAGTTCATTCAGAGCAGCTGCAAGACTGGGGCAGGGCCCAGCAGGGAGCTTTTGCTGAGCCCCAGCACTGGGAAAAACAAACAAAAACAAGCAAGCGCAGGCCTATTCTCAGGTTTTATGAGAATTATGTCAACCCAATCATCAGTGGCTTTAATTCTTCTAGTTTGGTTTTACCCCAGCAGTGACTGCAGTGGTCTGTTTAGCGTCACTATCGTGATTTTCATTCATTTGAATGACCTAAGTTAGAGTAAAAGATGCAAGGGTGGCTGCAGTTTACCGGAAACAGCATCTGTCATCCGTGGTGCTGCTAAATATTTTCCAAAATGATGAGCACTAATGAAATCCCTCTGCCCTTTCGTGTGAGAATTACAGACATACAGCCTATTGAAAACAGGCTGCAATTGTCCACACAAAATATTGAGAACAATCATCGAGTCGAATGAATCTTCAATGATTCTAGTAATTCAGTGCAGGAACTGTGATTGAAAAATCAATTTTGCCCCATCTTTGAAATAATGACATTGTTTGCTGTAGAGTTATGCATGATTGGGCTAAAGATTTCTTAGTGCAAAATGGTCAAATGGCAAATACCAACCATCATAATAGCTCTTGGAGTTCATGATAACATCCAAGTCTGCTGAATCCTTTCTTCTAAACATGAAGACATCGAATACCTTGCAAAGCTGGTCTTGCTCAGGGCGAAACATTTGAAAATCATTGGTTTTAATGCTAACATTTTTCAGCGACTCCTTTATGTAGAACAGATCCTGACCGCCGTCAGCTTCCCCTGCTCCCCCCTGACTTTCCTTCCCCCTCTCCCTTCCACTCTCTCTCCTTTCCTCTTCCCGGATTGAGTATATTGTACGGCCATGCGTCACGCTCTGGTCCAGGTGCCAAGGAATATGTCTGGTTTGGGCACCATTTCTGGTAGACATAACAATCGCACACCAGGTTGGAAGGCAATGCTGGCTACCTAGGAAAACACAGTTCCAGAGATAGGAGGAGGAGGGAGGACAGCACACGCCTGGCCCATACTCGCCTTCCAAAGGTATTTGCAGGCCGAGCTTACCCACAGGAGCCCCAGTTTGTCTTTTGCCGAAGCCACCCACAGGTTTCTCAGCCCTGCCTACCCCAGAGACTGCTGCTGTTTGTTATTGCACAGCGGACCAGCTGAAGTCGGCAGAGTGCCTCCTCTGGCAAGACTCCCGAGTGAGGTGTGACATGCGAGCTGACTGCAGTCACCTCCGGCGTGGGCGGGCGCTGACGCCCGCAGCACCTGGGGAATGGCTGGAGGAGACGCAGCAGTACTGCCGGACTGCGGGCAGGGAGGTCTCCGTGGACGAAGCAAGAATGGGGACAGAGCATAGTGGCACGGGCTGCCGGGGTCTGCAGGGCATGGCGCCGTGAGGGCTTCAGGTTGGAGACATTTGGCCTTTTGTTTCTCTTTGTAGAAGCAAGAAGGTCAGCCGCGTGGAAGGCGATGATTCGTGCACTTTTGCTGTGCTGTCTGGTGTTTCTTGTGCCCGCAGAGCCCTGTAGGAAGCTGTGTCAGGTAAGTGGGGGGCAGGTGGGTGGGGACAGTGTGTGGAGAGTGGGCTCTGTGATTTGACCAGCTCTGGGGCCCCCAGCACAGGTGTGGTAGGAGTAGATGGTGACAGTGACTCACTCGGAAGAAATCGCAACGATAGACCACAAAAACGCGGTTTACCTAACAACTCCAAATTATTTTTCCCAGCAGGTTTTCCTTTTAAATTTGGAAATGCAAGGGGGCTGATGCGACTTCTTCCTGTATCCTGGGGTTGGGAAGCTTTTCCATAGCTCATACCTCACGCACATGTACGCACTATTCCCTGAGGGGTCTTAGAAAAAGTAGGGGTGGGGCCGATCACCACCCGGGCTGGAAGCATTAATGACATTCAGCGGACCGAGCCTGATGACGGGTTTCGGATAACACAGAACTGTCCCGTTCGAAGTGGGGAGAGCATCTCCTTTGAGAATCCTCAGCGAACACCCGGAATGGGCTGGACAGAGCAATGGAGGCTGTCGTTGGCTAAGCCAGGTCTAGGATGGTGGCATTGGTACGGATGTACTATTGTAACTTCTGTGGACAGTGAGTCCTGTGGCTTCCCCTGGAGTATTTTCCCTCAGACCATAAGTCATTTTAATTTCCCTATTAGTGACTTATTTAAAATAAGGTGTGGAGGGGCACTGGGAGAAAGAAGGCATAAAGATAGGATCTTGAAGGGAGCTGTGGGATCCAGCTTCACTCCCTCATTTTGTAGGCAGAGACCATGGCCAGTGTAGACTGACAAACTTGGTTCATAGCCCAAAGCCATGAGGCCAAGGCTAGAGCACCTGCCTTAAGATCTTGCTCTTTCCATTTTAGTGTGTTCCTTTTTACACAAGATTCCCTAGGAAAAAATGACTTTGGAAATGCTTTTCATGGCTTTTCCAGACAATGATTACTGCATCCTCGCACTAGTTTGCCCTTGGAAGGGAATCAATCCAGTGTCTCTCCTTCTCCTCTACCCTGACCTGGTGTCTGGCTCCTGGGTGAAGTTAGAAACCTTCGGAAGACTTTGCTGGAGGCATCTCAACCCTGCAGCTGGTCCCCTCTTGCCCTCTTTTTGTGCACACTGTTGTACGAGGCAGAACGTGGAGTACAGGCAAAGCATGTGAGGCTGGCTGTCTTCCCTTGATGATGGGATCACTTCCACAGGAACATCCCATCCTTTTCTTCCCACCTACAAGCTTCTCAGATGGCGAGCCGCAGGTGCCAGCCCTCCCTGCCCAACCTGTGCACCCAGCCGCTCAGCAGGTCCAGCAAGCTTCTGGTTGCCACCATCCTTTCATAAGATTAGGTCAGGGCTATTGGAATTTGATGCAAAAGTGGCCTCTCCTGGATGCCACCGTGGAGGAGGTATCCATGATGTGCTTTGGAAAATCAGCTAGGAAGAAGAAGATAAGGTCCTTCACTTTCGGAGGCAGATTTTCCGGAGCTCCTTATAAATGTAGCCTGTGGCCTTGTGCCCATGCTCTTGATGACCACCGTGTGACTTCACCAGGGTTTGTTTAATGGCTGAATATTGCCTGGAGTTGAGCACTTCTGACTGCACTTGTCTTGGTGTGCTGGAGACACAGCGCTGTCCAGATGAGCTTGGGTACCTTGCATACACGTCCCCTCTTCTTGGCCCCCTAAACATGGGCTGGGGGTTGGAAGCGAACTGTAGTAGGAATTAGGAGAACCAAAGTTCTAGTCTCAGCTGTTGGAGGAACTCCCTGAACCCCTTTGGGTAGATCACCTCATCTGTCAGAGACCCAGTTTCCTATCGCAGATAAGGGCTTGGACGAGGTGATCTATAAAACTTACCAGAATCTCAAAGTACTTTCACACTCTGGTTTAATGGAGGGACTTTAACTTTTCTGCTTATTTAACAAGGCTTTGTCTTCTCAATGGTAAGAGTCTTTATATCAGTGATTTCAAGGATATTCTGTCCCATGAGTCCTCAGGCATCCTGTCTTGACCTCAGGGAGACTCAATTCAGATCCTCCATAGGTTCCTATTTGGTGAACAAAACAGGTAGTATTCAGACTCATTTCTTAAGAATGTGGAGAGAAACAATAATGTGAAGGAGAAAGGGACACAAACCCCAAGTGTCAGTCACACCACTGGGTCATTAAATTTCCAGTCTCTTTCCCAACAGTTTAGATCTTGGAACACAAATTGGAGTGGCTCTCCCAGCCCCTAGAGGGCACTCTGCTGGTGCAGAAACAGGAAGATCCAGTTTGTCCTCCCACACCCATGTGCAAGCTTGCCTGTGCGTGTCAGCCTACACATAATACCAGTATATATATGCATACATTGGTACAAGACACTCAGCCGTCTACTTAGGGGGACTGAAGGTAGCATAATGCACAATCCATATTCTTTAGGAACTCACAGTTTCATTGAGAAGGTAGCATGCTTTTATAAAAACTATTAGCTATCAGGACAGCAGGTCCGGTGAGTCTGCACTGAGCCCTGACTGTGTGGTGTGTGTTCTGAGGAATGCCACAGGAGCCAGAAGAAAAGGGCATCAGGTAGAACTGGATCGGGAATGACTTCTCAAAAAAAGGGAAATGTAAGCTCTCTGTGTGATCGATATTCACGTTCAGCACAAAAAATGACAGCGGGATCTTAAACAGCACGTGCACTGTTCCAGGGCTGTTTTAGAGGTTGCTATAGATGAGCTCCTTGCTCCTCACAGCCTGCTCCGTGGCCCTGTTGGAAGTTGAGGGTTCCCAGGGTCAGCCCTGTTCTCAACAAGCCACCTGCTCACTAGGCGGTGAGTGTGTGTGTGTGTGGACCAGTGGGGCCACAGCGGGGACTGCTCAGGAGGGGGCACCCAGGCTTTGCAAGAGCATTCTGGAAAAAGAATGAAACTAAAACATAAAATTAAAGGAAAGTTAATATTGGAATGGGAAAAGGCATCACAACAGATTTCAAGTCTACGAGTGATGGGGACTTTGCACCCAGGAATCGCTCAATGTTATTCAGCGATACGTTCAAGAAAACAGTGACGCTTTTAGAAATGAACTGCCTCCTATTTGCTCCTACATTTTGGTTGCATACCTGCAAACTAAGGATTTTAGCTGTTTTCTTAAGTAGTAAGTAGGATGATTAGTCAGCCTTCCCCCTAGCATTGCTTAACAAATTATTTTCCTATTGCTTCTACTTTTGCAGAACAACCCTCAGGTTCTCTATTCTTCATTAGTGACACTATGTAGATATGCAGGGCTGTAGCTAGGTTTGGGGGAGCCTCTGTCACTCATGGTTCTTTTGTATGGGAATGGCAGGATATCAGGATGCTGACAGCTGTCTTGTTCTGTGACTATTGATAAACGCTCTCAGAATTGGTGCTACTCACACGTGGACATCCTTATTGCAACTGGGAAATGGCCATAAACTGCCTAGTACATCTGATTAAATCCAGACCTACTGCATGCTCAACTGGACCCCATGTGGAGATCCCACAGACAGATCCACTTTCCTGGTACCCTTCAGTGGGGTGGAGTGTGAATGGCAAAAATAACAGGATGAAGAGATGAAAGAGTTAAAGTATTTTGCTTTTGAAAATTTACTAGATGTGAACACGCGAGTGCATTCAGAGGACTCAGAGGAGTCCACACAAGCAGAGCTAAACCTCGTTAGCTTCCTGGTAAATCTGCCCTGCCCATCATGGGTTTCCTAGGCAGAGACCAGACCACTCTTGCTGGAAAGAGGAGGAATTGAAGAGACAATGGCATCATTTTGGTGGCCACGCTGGCCGCACAGCTGGTCCAGACATAGATGTCAGTCTGTGACTAAAATGAGCTGCTGAAAAGGCATATGGACAATCGATGTTGATGTGAATTTTGATTATTCTCTTTCAGGCCACCAGTAACAGCAAGAAGGAGTCTGCCAGGTCTCAAGGTATGTTGGCAGCAGCTAGCAACAACAGACATTGTGTGTGTCATACCAGCGGACTGTCCCCAGCTCTGTCTCACGAGCAGCTGGTGGCACAGCATTGTAGCTTTTGCTTGGACTTGGATTCTTTTCCCTATGTGAAACTGTGCCCTTACCTCCGTTCCTTCCTCTCCTGCACCCGCAGCTGGATTCTTCACATGGCACCAACTTGGGCTGGGGAGGTGGGCAGAGCAGATCTCTCAGGATGCACGGAGGATGCAACTTATCATAACATCTGCTTGTTTGGGAGCACAGGACAATAGACTCCAACCAGAGCTGAGCTGGGAGCTCTTGGGCCGTGGGCTTCCGTGGTCATGAGAATGGCCTGGGTGATGGAGCTATGGGCTCTTTCAGGTTCTGCAACTGGAACAGGTCCACTTTTACCTATTTTACATTGGGGTTCAGGCTAGGAGTCTGTTGGGAACAGTAGAGGTTAGTGCTGCCATGAGTGACGGCCACAGTTCCATGTCAATCATCTGTCAGTACAAAGGAAAGACACCTGTGTCTGCGATGTCCACAGGATTTCTGTCCCCTGCCACAGTGACACTTGGGCGATTGGCCCAGTGCAACTCAGGGCTTCTTTCTTCTCTTTTCCTAGGGGTGTGTGATGGCATCTGTGTGTCCGGTTCCCACTGCAGCCAGCCATGCCCTCCGGGCACTGAGGGAAGCATGGGGTTTGCCTGCAGGAAGCAGCAATGGCACAAGGTCACTGATACCTGCTGTACCCTTAATGCATTCAACATCTTTGAGGTAAGGTCTGTCCTCTCACGTAGCTCTAGGGACAAATCAGAACCTCAGTTTAGCACCGTGAGGCACTGGAGAGGGGAGGAAGAGTGTGGACAGGCAGCCAAACCCTCCGTGTCCTCTCTTAGCCCTGGGCATCCAAGGGCTTGAGCTCCAGGCCCCCACACCCTTCCATGACATGAAGGAAGAAGCCATGGGGAGGGCAGCTTCTACTCCTGCACAAGACTCAGCCTGGATGGAAGGGGTTCAGCCTATCGCTAATTTTAGTCATTTTCCCACCTTGATATTCTAAATGTTTCCTCCAAATCTGGGTCAGATCATTTAGGTCAGATCACTTAGGAGGGTCCCAGAGCCCTCTCTGTTAATTGCTCCATCTTCACTCTCCGCCCCTTGACCCCAAAGCTCGGACTCTTGTCTCTCCCTGGCCAGCCGCAGCAACCCTGGCAGCTCATTAGATCTGTGCAAATCACCCCCACCCAGACCTGGTGACCCAGAGTCTGTGCGCTCTCTTGAAATCGCTGCACGTTTCTGTTCTCACTAAGGCATGAGAAGCAGGGGGAAGGACCTTTTCATCCCACCGACACATTGGTATACATTCTTAAGTAATTACATACTTCCTTATTCAATCACCGTAGATAAGATCAGATCAAATGCTGGTTCTCCTCCCTTTGCTCCTGTTCCTCCTTTCCAAGAGGGCTTTCCTTACCTGCTCCCGATGGCATCTCCATCTCCGGAGTCTCCTGACTCAGCCTCTGTGTGTGGCTTGGGGCTGCGGGTGGCACTCTGCTCCGTCTCTGCAGATGTGAGACGGGGCAGCTTCTGAAGTCTGCCCAGGGACTTCCTTCCACCTTGGTGTTCCCAGTTGTTTCTTCTGGATCCAGCTTAGAGTTTCTGTCTTTATGATATATTTGTACCTCGAGCTTTGCCTGTTGGGAATAGGGAAGACAAGCTTAAATTGCACTGGGAATTTATGCAGTTGTACACAGATACATGCACAGTACGCGGACACAGTCCAAACTGGTCTATTAAAGATAACACTTGGGAAGGTGCTAAAGAGCAGGCAGTTGGGAAGCTGTGACACTGAAAATGGAAAATAGAAAGACAATTGTTTGTAATTGTCTCAAGGTACAATTGTTTGTGATTGTTTGTAATGAGGCTGTTTTAAGTGTTAGTAAAAGTGCTCTTATCCGTAACATAAACGGGACATAATAGGACTGGCCTTGTTTCGGCCACATCTCAGCAGGACTTACAGTCTGCCCGCCCCTTTGGAGGAGGTGAAAAGGTGAATGAATACGCCGGGAATGCAGAGACCATCTCCGACAAACTAATGCAGAGGTGCCCGACGGATCTGTCCTGCGTGATTAGGAACATCGAGCAGTCACCCCGGCTGCCAGGGAACATCGCGTTCATCGTGCAGCTGTTGCGCAACATATCCACGGCTCTCATGGCAGGTGTGGATGAGGCGCAGATGCACGTGAGTGGCCCTGGGTGTCTGGCGGGGCATCCTCTCTGTGGGAGAGGAATTTGGCTCAGCTGGGACGCTCTCTGAGCCTCTCGGGGACTGGGAACAGTGACTCTCACTCGGTATCTCCAATGTCTAGCCCAGTCAGGGCTCCGTATGTTTCACGGAGGGAAGAGGTAATGGAAGAAATGAACACACCAAATGAGTAAACATTTATAGTGAGCGCTGACTTGGTGCTGCGGTAGAAACTGGAGTCTGCTTTTCCAATGTCTTTTTTGGGTGCTGAAAATCTCTAATAGAAATTCTAGGTCCTGTGGAGAGAAAAGCTTTTCTCCCTTTTATTTGTGAGTTAGAATGAATCGCAGGAAGGGAAAGTAATGGAATGCAAAGGAAGTGGCCATAACTTTCTGCTGCAGAAATGTGAAATGGAACGGGATCCTTGGCTTTGGTGTTCGATGTTTGTAGCAGAGGATAGATTGTGCTTTTGGGGCGCACTTCTCCTGAAATGTGCTCCTGTTGGTTACCTGCTGGGTGCTCTGATGGGTAGGAGGCTCCCTAAGGGGTACCCAGGGGTGAAGTGGGAATGGGGTGGACATGAGCCCTGGGGCTGCCTGGTAGTTCCCATCTAGCCCTGTCCTTTGACTCAAGCTTTGCTGTGCACGCCCATCACCCAGGGTCTCATGAAGGAGCTGGTTCTGGTTTGGAAGGGGGTATCCTGAGGTCCTGTCTCGGAACCTCAGCAGGGAGGCTTATGCCGCTGGTTGGAGGCCCACGCTTTGTCGGTTTAAACCCACGAGTAATGCCAGTTCTCTATCTGCAGAGCTACAGCTCCATGGCCAACCACGTTCTGAACAGCAGGAGCATCTCAAACTGGACCTTTATCCCAGAAAGAAACAGCAGCTGCGTCCTGCTCCACTCAGTCAACTCTTTTGCAAGAAAGCTGCTGGTAAACAAGAGTCTCATCAACATATCAAATACCTTCATCCATACAATGGGCTCCATCATAGCTGCAGATGGTGAAGGGAAGAATTTCACTTTCTCCATGAGAATCAATGACACCAGCAGGGCAGTTACTGGCAAGGTTTTGGTGGGCAGAGAGGAGCTGCAGATGGCACCTTCCACTATTAAGATCGTCAGCATTGCCTTTCCCACGCTTGGGGCCATCTTGGAGGCCAGTCTTTTGGAAAATGTCACGGTGAATGGCCTTGTCCTGTCTGTCATCTTGCCCCCAAAACTTAGAAGAATCTCACTTCTTTTTGAAAAGATCAGCAAATCAGAGGAGAGGAAGACCCAGTGTGTGGGCTGGGACCACCTGGAGAGCAGATGGGTTGGCCACGCCTGTGAGATGGTGGAAGAGAGCCCCCAACACGCTCTCTGCCAGTGTCAGCCAAGCAAGCTGGTCACTTCTTTCTCCATTCTCATGTCGCGCCACACCCTGGTGAGCCCGGTACTGACTTATATCACCTACATAGGCTTGGGCGTTTCGATTTGCAGCTTGATCATTTGCTTGTCTATTGAGGCTCTGGTTTGGGGTCAGGTGACAAAGACCGAGATCTCCTATTTACGTCACCTGTGCATTGCCAACGTGGCAGCCACCTTACTGATGGCAGATGTGTGGTTCATTGTGGCTTCCTTTCTTAGTGGTCCAGTGACACACCACAACGGATGTGTGGCGGTGACATTTTTCGTTCATTTCTTTTACCTTTCTGTGTTTTTCTGGATGCTCGCCAAGGCGCTCCTTATCCTCTATGGAGTTTTGATTGTTTTCCACACCCTGCCTAAGTCAGTCCTGGTGGCTTCTCTCTTCTCAGTGGGCTACGGGTGCCCTTTGATCATTGCTGTTATCACAGTCAGTGTCACTGAACCTGGCAAAGGCTACCTGCGGCCCGAGGCCTGCTGGCTCAACTGGGACATGACCAGGGCCCTCCTGGCCTTTGTGATCCCAGCTCTGGCCATCGTGGTAGTAAACTTGGTCGCCATCACATTGGTGATCATCAAGACCCAGAGAGTTGCCACTGGCAGCTCCATGTTTCAGGAAGTGCGAGCCATCCTGAGAATCAGCAAGAACATTGCCATCCTCACGCCCCTGCTGGGACTGACGTGGGGCTTTGGGATAGCCACGATCATCGACAGCAGCTCACTGGTCTTCCACATCATCTTCTCCTTGCTCAATGCATTCCAGGTGAGCGCAAGGGGGTGAGCACAAGCTCCAGGGAAGAGAATCTGAGAGGAGGGCCTGTGCTCAGGAACTAGGGTACCAGGCTCCTCCCTAGTGGGGATGGAAAAGCATATTGGAAATGAGTTTTGGGTCCAGAGAAGCCTGGGTTTGATTTCTGACTCCTGCATTTACCAATAACATGCCACACGATCTTGGAATATTTACTTCCTGTTTTCAAGCACATTTTTCTCATACATAAAGTGGATATAATATTGTCTATTTATAGAGAGGTTTGGAAAATGAAATGCAAAAGTGAATGTTAAAACATGATCCAAGGATGATCTAAAATGATCTAAGGATCACAAACAGCCTTTTAATAGGTGGAATTGTTACCATTTAGACATTAAATAATTACACTTCCCCACTATCTAGTTTTACAACTGGAGGAATGAAATTTTTTACTTTTATCACATTTACTGCCATTTAGAGTTTTTAGTTACCATGGGGAACCATTTTTTTCTAATGAGGCAAGCTATAGATCTACTGGTATTGAAGAGAGTTTCTCTACTCTCTTACCTCATCCATGTAAATTAAGCAATGTAAACTCTTGCCCAATAGTTTCATGTGGATCCCTGCCAAATTTTCTATGTTAATGCACATGTACTTTTACATAATATAAGGGTTAAAAAGCAATGTCTTTTGTTATGCAACTTTCTTTCTCACTTGAAAATATGCCCTAGAATTTTACTGGGTTAGTTTGTATGAGCATGCCGTTTAATGCTTGCATGGCATTCTGTATTTAATAAACTCTTTCTTGATTGGGATTTTGTTTTTCCAAATTTCTTCTATTACAGTGTTCTGAAGAACTAAAGATTTTTTATATTGAATATTACATATGTGGATATCAACTAATGGACAAGAAAGCTTTTATTTTTCTAAAGATCTCGAAAAGACCCCCCCCCAAAACACACATATGAAGCTTGGTAAGCCCAATTTGGGCTTCAGATCCCAACCTCAGATCAGAGGTGCAGGCAGGCTGTATGGGATGCATTCTCATGCCTCTTCGCCAGCAGATACGAAGCTTCTTGACGAATCTCTTACCTGCGTCCTCTGAATGCCATTTTGTGTAACTTTTCCCAAGGTGGCCTAAACCAACAAGTAGTTTTAAGAGAATACTTCCCTATTAACTCTTAGGGCTGTGTACATTCAAGGTACACAATGAGGTCAGGAAGCACACACTCAAATACACACACGCCGCGTTTAGTACTTATTTTCTGCTAGTCATTATCAATAAATACAAATGTCAACAATTCAACCTCAAGGAGCTTACAGTCTTAGGAGCAGAGAAATTAACTCTTCCTAGTCCTTTAGCCATCTAGTACAGATTGTTGTTGTTTTTTTGTTTTGTTTTGTTTTTGTGGAGAAAAGATGCTAAGTTATGGCTCCTACATCTTGAAAACAAAAACGTTATCCTTGGGCCAATTCAGTTAAAATGTATTTGTTGGACCCAAGCCAGGCTGGATGTATTTGTTCCACGTACCTTTATAAGGCTGACACTTTATAACCTAATGGGCCATGCCGACTACTGTGTTTCCTTTGTAAAAATTGGTGACAGATTTCAGCAGTGACATCTTGGGTGCAGAGTGTCACACGGGAGAGCAAGCTGCTGAGCTGGTGGCTGACAGGAGGGAGGCGGGTACATGTGGGGCCTGGCTGTCCCCGGGCCCTGTGAAGCCCCCATCTCTCGGCCCAGCTGGGGTCATGCTGTGGTGGCAGTAGTGTCGAGAGTGTCCTTGCTGACAGACGATTGTGTGCCAGCTCTGTGGGACCAGTTGTGTTACATCCCCGGGCCTCAGTAGCCCCCTGCTGAGTTCAGAGTCCCTTGTGAAACTGGAGCAGCACAGCATGGTCATGCCTAAAGGACAGTTCACTACCTCACTTCCCTTTTGGAGCCATTACCCAAGATGTGAGACTTTGGTTCACTGCATGCTGCTCTCCCTGCCGCATTTTGAAAGTGGAATCTCTGTGCTTCTTCCCCTCTGTCTGAAAAACGGCGGTGCTCCTTGCCCTTCCTTCCTCGGAGGGTTTTCAGCCAGTGTACGACAAAACAGTAGAGACTCAGCTGTACTGTAATTGCGACTGGACAGTCTGTTTTTGACCTGACAGGGCCTTTCTCTGTATGGCTCAGGAGAGCTGGGAGAGCTGCTTTGTTCTCTCTGCCTCTCCCTACTTGGACCAGCTGCTATAGGTTTAGAAATCCAATCTACTTTATGGCTTATTAATTTTTCTGAGGATGCATGTATTCGATTTTCCTTTGCAAGTTTTATAATATTCTTTGCTGTGGATGAGAAGAGAGCGAGGGTGTATGAATGGAACATGTTTTTGCTCTTTGTCACAGATGTTTATCTCATTGTTTCTTGTTCAGGGACTGCAAACCAGTTATCCACTGCCTAACGTCTCCTCTGACTCTTTCTTGATCACCCTTTTCTTTGTATCCCTCCCTACCTCCTTCTCTTCCTCTCTTCCTTTCTTTCCTTTATTTTCTTTTCCTTTCTTCCTACTTACCTTATTTCCTTATTACCTTTCTTCCTTTCCCCCCTTTCCCTCTTTCTCTTCTTCTCCTTCTTCTTTTGTACTGGGAATTAAGCCCAGGGAAAGGGCACTACCACGGAACTACACCCCAGCCCTTTTTATTTTAATTTGAGTTTTGAGTTAGGGTCTCTCTAAGTTTGCCAGGCTGGCCTCAAACTCTTGTGTTTTGTTTGTTTGTTTTTGTTTTTGGTACTGGGAACCGAACTCAGGACCTTGCACTTAGGAGGCAGGTGGCAGCACCTCTGAGCTAAATCCCCGGCCCTGGCTCAAACCCTTGGTACTCCTATCTCAGCGTCGTGCATAGCAGGCATTACAAGTGTGCGTCTGGCTTAGATTGTTGTATTCCAATGAGCAGAACAGTTTCCACTAAGTGCGAAACACCTGTATTTGCTCACTTCAGAAGACATTTTCCTAAAGTGCTCCTGTAAGAAGCAGAGACTTTGCTGTGTTGGTTCACCGAGGCTTTCCTGCATCTAGAACACAATGGTCTATGGGCCACAATGTTTGTTGAATGAATGAATTCAATTGTTTTGACCTTGGAGTAGGAAATTAAAAGATTGGGTTAAATTGTTTTCTTGTGATTAAAACAGGAATTGAGTGATGAATACTGGTGTTTGCTATCATCATTTTTTAAAAACCACTCTTCTTCCCTTCTCCATCTTCACAGGGCTTCTTCATCCTGGTGTTTGGAACAATCCTGGACCCGAAGGTACTGTGTGTAAATTCTCCTCATTTTCCTGCATTATCAGGGCTTGGCCCTGACATGGCCACCAGTGACAACCACTTAGGGGAAATCTGTCGAATCATCCTCTTGTGCAGACTCATGGACAGAGCTTCTCTGCTCTTTTGGGTGTGGGTAGCATCTTTGGGGCTAGGTGTCCATGTGTATTAGCTCTGATCCTCTAAGCAATGTGAGGCATTGCTAGTTTCAACTCTCCAGATGAGGAAACCGAGATGTTGTTACCGATTAAGCAGCTCACTCAGGATCTCTGAAGAAACCACTCTGATTTGTTGAGGCAGAAAACAGGTTTATTGCATCCCACGATACCATCTTTGAGAGGGCCTCTCCTTCGGGTGCAGGCTGCATCTCACGGATGGTTTCCAGTGCAGGACACAGATCTACCATGAGGGACAGCACTGCCAGCCCTTCTGCTGCCTGGTGCCATGCCCAGCCTGGCCTTTGGGCCCACTTGCTGTTGTGCACTGTGGAGTCCGAGTGGCTGAGCCAGACCACACGGGGGTGGAGGGAGGTGAGTCCCGCCTCGCAGGTCAGGGCACCCAGGGAGGGCTTATCCTGACACCACGAGTGTGGACAGGCTGTAAGTGGAGACAGACACTGACACATGAACACAGCACACATTCTCTGAGGCTTCTGAGATCTCCCCTTCCACCTGGGCACCTGCACCCTGGAGTCAGCAAAGCAGAAACTTCTCTCGGATGCTGTTGCACACACTGGCCCAGCTAGACTTAGTTCATAGCAACCGGGTTGGATATGCAGACAACACCAGCACACAAACCCAACTTCACTGCCGAGCTGTGTGTGTGTGTGTGCTTTATTAAGCATTTACATCAAACCTATTATGTTATTAAGTCAGTATCAAGGGCTTGTGAAAGAGGAATTTCACAATGGTCCTTCCATTGTCTCGAAAGGCTGCCGTTTCAACTAGTAAAGATTAATCAGAAGTGAAAGAGTACCGGCCTCACTATTCCCATGTGTAGATGGTCACTCACAAAGGGTTGACTTAGGAATTTTGACCTTCTGATGACACAAAGGTGGTACACATTCAAGGAAAAATTGATTTCAGATTCTGAATTTTGATCCTTTCCTGTGCAGTGTGCTCTTCTGCTGACAGCAGACCGCAGCCTCCTGTCAGACATGTGATTAGGAGAGTAAACAGCCGATTCTACGCTAGGCCACGGAGTTGAGGAGGCTGCGTGACTCAGACGCACTACTGACTTACAATAGGATCAACCTGCAGTGGGTTTATTGGGACACAACCCTGCCATTAAGTCGAGGAGCTCCTGTCCCAGCTGTGTGGCCCTGGGGGGGTTCTCTGACGATTGTAAATTCCAGATTCCTCACGTGGAACGCGGGGAGGTGGATGCTTTCTTGGCCCTTTCCACTAGATTATGGAAAAGCACAAGCTCACATTTATAGGTGAACGCAGACCATGTAAGGCATCCCACAGTCACGGGTACAGGATGTGTCTGTTAAATGTCACACCTTAGCTAGTGTGTCAGCCAGAGCAGCAGTGACCTTATTCCTTAGCTGCCCCTGGGTACTGTGTGGCACCAAGACCTCAAAGCCAGGAAGCCTCCTCCAAAGCCAAACCGTCTCACATTTAAAATTAAAAAATGAAAGGTATATGTTCCAAAGTGTCCTAGGTCATACAGGATTCATTGACAAGAAACTGTGTGTAGCAGTGGTTTTCAAATTGTTAAGATTGAAAACGCTGAGCATGTAGCCCAAATGTGCTTATTATTAATGTATAAAGTGGGGTAGTAATGCACATTGTGAAATGTGGTATTAAAAAGGATGAGAACAGGCCAGAGATTTAACTCAGTGGTGCTGCCACCTGCCGCCCAAGCACAAGGACCTGAGTTTAATCCCCGGTACCCTCCCCCCCCAAAAAGGATGAGAACAGAGACTGTAAGTAGAATGTCCAGTACATCTTCACAAATACTAACGAACCCTTGCGTGTTCCTGGCCTTAAGAGATCTTCTAACTCTTTGGAGTCTGTGGGTAGCAAGGACAACTGCATTTTCAAGGAAGGGTAAAGTCACCCTCAGCTGGAGGCCTTTAAAGTTATGAAACAAAAGTTATAAAGTTAAGCACAGTAGTTGTTTCTTGTTCTTATTTCCTTGGTTCCATAGACTGCTGCTGTGTTGTGTGGCACTTTTTCCCCATCTAGGAAAGGTTTAAAAAATTAAAAATTTATGAGACATGATAGACTATTTCCATAAAATAAAAACAATGCCAAAGCCACGTTTGGAATCCTTAGCTTTTAGCCACTGGGCTCCGCTGCCAGCTCCCCTCTCTTGTCTGTCCTGGTCTCCCACCACCCACCCTCAGGACCCATAGGTGCCTGCCAGCCCAGGCACCTATGATGACTTCTTAGCATCTTTTAATTCTTCACCTCTTCTGTTGACTATCCAGATCCGAGAAGCCTTGAAGGGTCGAGTAACCTCTGCGAAATGGAACTCCAGGGTGTCGGAGGTAAAGCTCTCACTTTCATTTTGCACTTCGAAGTTGGACAGGGTAACAGCAGTGCAAAGCCGTCCCACCCCTCAATACCATGGCTCCTTCCCTTCTGCGTCCTCAGTGTTGGTCCGCTCTCGCCACCATGAGGAAATTCTTCCTTTCAGTGCAAAGCAATCATTCGCTGGTTCGTCTTTGTATTTGTACACCAGTAGCTCAGAACGATGCCCAGCACTTTATTATGAGTTGTCCATTGCTGGGGCCAGTGGCTTCCAATGCTGGCTGGGCCTTAGCAACACTACAGCCAGACCCCCTCAAGAAAGGTGCAATTAAAGCCCTGAGGAGAGAGGCTGAGTGTCCCCCAGAACCAGCTCCATGGTGATCCTGATGTAGGCTGTGCACATTTATCATCTGTTCCTGCCATTTCCTTCCACTTGGCCCGTCCTCAGCCTGTCGTTGGCTTTATCACTCTGCATGGGGCACAGGAGCGGGATGTCCCCTCGGATCCCTGGTAACAACCTTCTCTAGCCCAAACGTACTTGTCCCCACAATACCAGCCTGGTGGGGTCAGTCCGGCTCCACCCAGGACCTGGAGCGCTTGTCTGGGGTCACCTGGAGCCTGCTCTGACAGGCAGCTGTGCTCTCGCGATCCTCACCCGATGTAGGGTTTTGTGGGCCATCTGTTCCCTGTCACCAGCATCCTCCTCTGCTGCCCTACTCCCCAGCCAACCAGGGCTCTCCACTCTCTCCTGTGTTCTCAGTGCAGGTGAAACTGCGATCACGGTGAAGGATAAGATCCATCTCTGTGGATCGTGGTTCTGTTGTGTCCAGATCGCTTTGTCCCCAAGCTCGAGCCTGGGCCCTAGTACCTCACCGACTAAGGGGATCAGAAATGAGAGCCCCGACCCTCTTTTGAGGCTTATTTTTATAGGGGTTGGGAGGCTTGAAATCCTTTCTTTCTTATTGATGATTCTAATTGGACATTGCTGGGGTACTTGCGAGAACAGGAGGGCAGAGACGGGAAATAAAAGGAGGGGCAGGTTTAGCGGGGGTCAGGATGTTCTTTTTCCAAGGAACATCCTGTGTGGTTAAACAGTTAGGCAAACTTGTTATGCTTAGAAAAGCATGTGGCTTCCTTGCTCCATCTATTTCCAGCTTATCTTATTTTGCAAACTTAAGCAACTATTGGGGAGGGGGTCAGTTCACTCTTGGGTCAGAACAAGAGTTACAGAAAAACAGGTAGGAGCTATACAAAATGGAGTTTCTGTTGCTTTCTGATTTTGAACAAAAGGGCAACGAGGGAGCCCACCTTGATCAGAAAATTTGGTTCCTACAGTTCTCTGGGGGCCGTGTAGTCCTTCTGGCCTCTGGCAGCAGACTCACAGCGATAACACAGTTTCCCTTTGCCTCCCACAGAACCTTTCTTCCAATTTCTCCCGCCACCCCACCAATGGGCCGAGCTAAGAGCCCAGCCTGCAGCCCGACTCGGAGGTGAGTGGGCACGAGTGGAGGTCTTCGTGTGTGCGCTACCCAGATGCCATTTCGTCCCCAAATCATTACCTGAGTAACTATACTTAGAACTGATTTTTCCCGGGAACTGGAGGTAGAGCTGTGACCGGGCTCTTGCTTAGCGTGTGCCAGGTCTGGAGTTCCACCCCCAGGACTGAATTGAGGATAAAGAAAAAAAAAATTTGCTTTTTCTGATGGAAAGGATTCTCCTATACCCTCTTTTCTCCCCTGGGCCACGGTGCCATTTGGATGAGCATGTAGAGGATGCAGACGTGTCTGAGAAGGTGCCTGAGTTAACCTGGGCATAAGAGGCCACACGGAAGCACCCACTCTTCCTAGCTGTTCTCTCCTCGTCTCCGTGCCAGCTTTCTTTCCAAGCATCTGACCTCAAACCTTTGATGCCCACTCTTCCAGTTTCCCATTGCAGCCCCTGTCTTTCCTCTGCCCTAAGAGGATGGAGAGATGGCAGATGGCGTTTGTGAGACACTGGAGGTCATGTCTTTTGAGACAGAGGCACACGGAGAGACTGAGTTAGAGAGGGGTGCTCGGGGAAAAGAGCACACACAGACCGAGGGCCACGGGGACCTGGCTGGGAAGAGAGGTGCGCATGGGGACACGGACCTACTCGAGACTCACAGGGACGGGGGTGCAGGGAGCTGAGGGTGGAGGGACCTTGGAGGACTGTGGGACAGGGCAGAGGGCATGAAGAGTACATAGGCCTGTGGCAGAGACAGGCGCTTGGGTTTGCCGGGAGCCTGCTGTTCACCTCACAGCCAGCCTTCAGGGCCTCATGCAGAGATCCGGTCGCTTCCGGAGGGGAGCTGCACAGAAAAGGAAGAGAAAGATGAGTTTGTAGCTCAGCGTGCACAGGCAGCAGAACATGCCGGGTCCCTGGCTCCAAGGGAGAAGATGGGCTCCTTGCTCGTGACACACTTACGCTCCTAACCTCCAGGTGCAGCTGCTGTCTGCTAATATTGTATTTCCTGTTCCCGACAAGGTCGCTCACCGGGGAATGGCAGCACCTGCAGGAGGAGCATGCAGACTCCTGCCTTCCCACCCCGCTGTGGAGCAGTGGAGAGGGAGGAGTGCAGGAGGATGGAGGCCACCAGACATTCCCTGCCCACCACCTGTAAATGACTACATCGCCCTGGGTGTCCGAGCCGAGACAGAGTGGACCTTTCCCAAGAGCAGGACTGCGGCAGGACCGCGGTCGCCTCAGCGCCTCCGCCTCCACACTGAGGGTCTCGTTCGTCCTCAGGAAGAAGCTCGGGTTTATCTTTGGCCGAAGTGGCCTGGGATGTCACCCAGCTGGATTCCATGGCTCGTGGAGGGAGAGGCTCACAAATAGGCCCGGAGGATTGAGAGTTGGGTGGCCTAAGTAGGTCACTGCTGGCTCCTTTGATGCTAGAAGCCAACTGCCAGTGTCTTCCACTCTGTCAGAGTTAAGCTGCTGGTTTGGGCTCTGATGCCACATCTTTGGCCACAAGTCGTGTGCAAACCATACAGCCGTAGAACCTGAAAAGATGCCTATTTTAAGTCGTAAGAAGATGAAAACCCAGAGATGTGAGTCACAGCTAGTCAATAGCTGAGCAAAGGAGGAGGAAATGCATTCTGCTCCTCTCAGCTCCTGACCCTCTCTCTGCCAGGCCATGTGGCCTCGGGAAGCATTCTGCCCACACTCCCTGAAACCAACAGTGCGTGTGTTTGAGGTCCAGGGTGGGGAAGGGGAAATATTATGTTTCAAGTACAAAGCTGCTCATTTTCATAGCTGTGCCTATTAACAATCGGGCATTCAAAGCAGGTGTCACCTGATAGAGAAGCATGTAGCTGACTTACAGAGCCATACACAGTAGCTGCCACTGCCAGGAGCTGGGAGAGAAGGTCATGGGGTAGGGGAGAACCCTAATGTCCTATCCAGATGCCATATGCCCCAAGGGAAATTGAGGTCCCTCCGTGGATGGGCGGGGCCTCTCCGTCTCCGTCTCCGTCTCCCTCTCCCTCTCCGTCTCCCTCTCCCTCTGCATCTTCCCCTGCACAGGATCTTTTTTCTAAGTAGCGAAGTGTGAGAAGGCAAAGGTACAATAAAGAGAGCAATCAGAAGGTAGGGAGATCCCTGCCCGGGGACAAGAGTTATCGTTCCAGAGGTGTCGCCCCCATGGGACGGCAGTGTAGTTCCCAGACAGAGCCCAAGAGTGGGCTCAGCCTGCCATTCATCAGCGCTTCCACAGGTCTCCCGTGTGGGCACAGCTCTGGCTCCTCCTGGGGCACAGATTTCAGCACAGAGAAGAGGCACAAAGCCAGCACCCTGCAGTGAGTGCGGGGTCTTTGGAAGTGAGCCAGTGAGGGGATCGTGCATGGGAGGGTCCAGCTGTCCCACGGTAGGGTGAGCTTTGAGCACTGGGACAGGGAGGACCTGGCCTGTGGCCGTGCTGGGCAGAAATCTCACAGCTCTGTTCTACCCACTCCCCCAAGCAGGAGCGGGGATGCCACAGCGAGGCTCCCTGCTAACAAGGGAGGCCCAGGCTGCTAACAGGAAATGCCTTGAAGAAGCCTTGCCCTCACTCCCATGGCCCCAACCCACTCTGTTCTGTCCCACAGTGACTGCTGGGTCACGCTGACCTGATGATCCTCAGCAGCCACAAAGGGGCCCCTCACGCCTCCCAGGGAAGTGGCAGGGTTGGGGCCCAGGGTGGGGGGAGCTGCTGCCAGCAGTGTTGAGGGCAGATTCATGGGCACCAATTCCTGGCTGTTGTTGGGAAAGTTGTTTACATTCCCTAGACTTGGGGTTTCTCTTATAAACTGAGCATAACAGAGCCTACCTCACAGGATGATTGTAAAGATTAAACCAATCAATGGTGGGCAAAGTGTTTAGGACAGTACTTGGCCAGTAACAATTGCTCATTATAATGTTAATTGTATTTTTATTAGTGTACCTGTGAATGCTCCCTGACACACACACAGGCACAGACACAGGCAAATACACACACGGCCCTTTGCTTGGGTTTGGATATGGATACCTTCACAGGAACTAGTTAACTGGCTTCTAAATAAGAGTTAGACATTGGATTAATTGTGCTCAGTGTTAGGGTTGCCAGCCAGCGAAATCTGCAGAGTGTCCCATGGAATGACCGTTTCATCCAAGATTGCCCTGGTTGCACAAGGGCCCCCTTTCCAGGAAGGCGGGGTGCACCCCCCCGGGCGCTGCTCATTATACACTGCCCAGCCGGGCCTCACCCCTTGCCTTCTCCGGGAAGCCTTCCCTGGTTGGCGCAGCCAGAAACACCCACTCTCCACACCTGCTTGTCATGTAATTTATAATCTGTGCCCCTCCGTATTTATATTTGCTATATTGTCTGTTTCATTTGGTCTTTTTGCCTTCCTATATTTTCCTTCCTGGATCAGACAGTACATCCTGGGGACCAGGGCTGTGCCTTCTGTTCCTTACCTTTCTATTTGTTGTTTATACTGCAAGGTGCCGCGTATGCAGAACGCATTCATTGAATGTGTTCAATAAAGTCTTCTGGTTGCAAAACCACTTAGTCTGGCTTTTCCAAATCCCGGTGCCCTAGCCTTACCCTGCGAATGACCTAAATGGGGCCAAGCCCTTTCCCCAGCCACTGCCTCCTTGACCTTCATTGCTGGAGGTTGTGCAACACAGCCACCTCTCCCTACTTTTACTGCTTGTCAACATTTCCCTGGTAACATCTTCGGAGGGTGTGCAGATCTTCGGGGGGAAACCTATAAGCAGGAGACACCAGCGCTAGGATGGGCGGGGTATTGGGGGGTGAGCCGGACAATCCAAACGGCTGCCCTGTCTGATGTCATTTTCTGTGAAGCTTCCCACACTCAGGGACTGTGCTCTTAGTGCCTGTGTGAGTTCCCCGGAGCTATGCAGAGGCTCAGGGAGAATGCCTGGCCTCGTCACTAAAAAAGTGAAACAGAAATCTCTCTGGAGCCCAGGTAGAGATTAGATCACAACTTCCTGCTCAGTTTCCCAGGCAGTTGTCTCCAAGTTCAACCCGGGCACAGGTGACACGCAGGACAACCTTTCACTTGGACGCCGATGGAGCGGTGCAGCCTTGCATCTGTTGCCCTCTCTGGGATTGCACCAACCCTGGGTGCAACAGCCTCAGGTGATCAGCTGAGATAAAGATGGAGACTTGAAGAAACAAGTGACTCACGTTGACGGGTTTGCTCCAGACAGGAGAAACCTGTCATTTTTCCTGGGTGAGCTTGACAGACCCACGGTGGTGAATCACAGCTCCCAGTCTCCACGCTGGGGTGGCTGTCAGAGAGGCTGCTCACGGCAGCCAGCAGGTTCGCAAAGTCCCTTCTGAGGATGGAGCAGTGGGGACCTGGCCCCTGGGGGGACTGAGGGGTGCCAGCGTGATGGTGATGGTGATGGTGAGCCAGGATGTGGGGGGTTCAGCACCCACCTTCCTTGCATTGGGATTCTCCATCTCTGGGCTGCTAGACCTGCTTGCCGACACTGTGAGTACATGGCTCACCAGCACTCCTTCCTGCTGAGGGGAGAGTGCTTCTGCTTTATGCCAGGGTGGGGACTGTAGGTAACTTATGATGGAATGCTCTGGAAGGCTTGATTCTCCAGGATTTGACGCTAATGCTATTTGGAAATGGAGGGCTCACAGAGGGAGCGTTTTCATCAGGCAGGCTATAATCTCTGCTTGCTGGGAGTGAGATGAAAACAGCTGGTCAGGCAGTGAGAACCATCGTCCCTTATTGTCACCTCCTGACGAATTCCAGGGCTTTTCCTTCAGCCTGAATGCAACGCTAGGATGCTTTCTAAAACAGTTTGTTCTTTTAGTGAGGTTGAGAAACTGTCTTTATAGCAACTGAAAAAAAATTAATCCAGGTACTGTTAAAACCTTTTGCAAAGGTTTCTCCCTGCTTTGGAGTGGCCAACAGAGTGCTGGGTGAAGGCCTGGGAGTCTCAGAGTCTGGGGATGACTTTTGGACCACTTCATGTTCCATTACAGCTGTTTTCTCCAGTGTCAGGGCTCGGTAAATTTCTTCCTGGAGCAGAGGTCTGTCAGTTTCTTGAATCCTACCTAAGTGTCTGGGTAATTGGTGAGATGTCTGCCAACACAGCAATTTTGTCATTCTTCAGACCTGTCAAAATTTGACTTCTGACCCAAATCCAGTAGTGATATTGAGCTATGAAATGGTTGGCTGGAAGACAGAAAAAATAGCCGAGGCAGAGATGTTTCTGACTCTAGTGTACCTTATGTCTTCTTTTCCTCTAAGGCTCTGTGAATGAATCATGCTATCCACGCCAAGAGTAGCCTGAATACACTATCGTGAAGGCTGGGAGATGTCGGGGCTTAAGTACAACGACAGCTCCTTTAGCCACCTGATGTTGGGACCGGAGTTCTAGTTACATCCAGAGCAGATGTGTTGCCAACCAGTTGGAAAATTCTTTTGCTCCATTCAGATGGAGATCATGAGTTGGCAAAGTGCAGCTCTGTGAGTGGTCCCGACACTCAGACGATGCTGTGTGATGTTGGATACCGACAGCTGGCACAGCAGGCTCCCAGTCATTGCAGTGCTGGCCACTGCCATCTGCTGCTGGCTTATGCCAGATGTCGTAGGTTGACACTGTTGGGTGTTGTCTCTGCTGCGATCTTCATTGTGTGCTGGTCTTTGGAGCTCTTTAGGGTTTATTGATCTTTCTTTTGAGATGACTACTCTCAAGAGTAGTCCATATTTCTCAAGATCAAAATCCTGAGTAGATTTACAAGTCCTTATAGGCCCACTCTGCATGGGAAATAAATCATGAGCAGATTTACAGGACCACTAAGCAGGACTTTATTTTAACAGAGTTTGTGCTGCAGCACCGGTGGTCGTCATATAGGATGGAGCCCTTCTAGACTAACTCAAGAAGTGTGAGGGGAGGGCTGCTTATGTAGAAACTGCAGGCCTGCTCTGTGATTGGTTTAAATTTAGACAGGCTGACTGGTCCAGTTGAAGCCCTGTGATTGGTCCAAGCAAGGGTTGGGAACATCAGGCATAGCTCTGGTTGTTATGGTGGGGATTCACTGGGGGGCGGTGGGGGGTGGGAGTTGAACTGTTTGACTGACAGCTGTCCCCTCTCTGGTAAAAATGTCAGGGCTGAAACCATGGACTCTTCGGGAAGGCTAGCTGTGCTCAACATGCCTAACAGGGGAAGGTGGGGATGTCCACAGTGGGCCCCAATGCCTCCCTCCTTGATTTAGCCACCCCAGGTACCTCTACTCTTCTTCACAGAGGTGGAAACAGCATGTGAAGTGGCTGAGCAAGGCCGCGGCAAGGTGCTCACAGGGCGTGGAACCCGTGTTGAATGGAGCGGCTGCTCGGGGAGGGAGGTGGTGGTCAGTGAGGTCAGTTGTCCTCATCCATAGAGTGTGGGGAAGCGAAGGGACATGAAGGCTAGGTGGTGTGACAGCCACCAGGCGAGCCCCGTCCCCCTTGTCAGGCTGAGGATACAGGAGAGCCAGGCTTCGGTTATGGAACTGGGTAGAAGGGGGACAGAACCTGCACAGACTGAAGTGTGGTCACCCTCAGCCGCAAGCTCCTGGCCTGCAACTGACCATTCTAGACTGGTGGTTTCCATCTGATGATGGAACTGGCTGAGTGGCTGGCCGGTAACCCGCTGGCCTCCCTGTCACCTGGGGAAGCGCTCACGCGGGTTTTACTGTCCCGTCCACTCTCATCAGGGAGTGTGCAGCCGGCTGCTGAGTGAACTGCTCCTGCTTTCTGTGGAAGCCCCAGCAGCAGCCCTGGATGGCATGCTTGGGCAGGTTGGGATCTCATTTGCCTGTTGAGTCATTGCCACAACCCCACCTGGCTTGCATGGGAGGAAGCTCCAGGGTCCGGCCGGCTGACTAGAGCGCTGAGTCCAACTCACTCAGAATTGCAGCTGTAGTGCAAGACAGTGGAGGCCACGTGGCGGACGGTGTCCGGGAGCAGCAGGTGTTCCAGGTGTGTGGGGGGACCGTGTCTTGTGACTATTGAGTTGAGTGGTATAGACAGACACATGCACAGTCACAGCCTGTCCATACCGATGGCCAGCAGGGCCCATCAGTGTGGCAGTGTCTCTTCCCTCCCTCCTTTCCTTCTTTTCTTCCTCCTTTTCACCCCTTCCCTCCCCTTTCCTCTCCTTTCCTCCCCTCCCCTTCCCTTTCCCTCTCCTCCCTCCCTCCCTCCCTCCCTTCCTTCCTTCCTTCCTTCCTTCCTTCCTTCCTTCCTTCCTTCCTTCAGCATGGCTTTATTTGTTATTTAACCAAGGTGGAATGTCACTCTCCACGCTCACACAAGACCCAGGTAGTAAAACAAAGAGGAACTTCACAGTAGGCTTGGTATCAGGGAACTTTTCTGCTTAAATTTCCAGATTCCAAAATTTATCGAGGGTTGTTAATCTCTTGGCCTTCTGCCCCTGCGAGTTCCCCATCCATAGAGTCAATCAACTGTGAGATGAAATATTCAGGAAAAAAAAAGTCTGTACTGAACACATGGAATTTTTGTCTCTGTTAGCTAAACAATAGAGCACAATTATTTACAAAGCATTTGCCTGCAGTAGTTCTTATAAGCCTACTTATATGCTTATATACTTATGGGTGGCTTAGAGTCTGGGGAAGAGGTGCAAGGATGGCATGCAAATACCAGGCCTATTTTACTTCGGGGACTTGAATATAGGCAGATTTTGGTGTCTACAGAGCACCTTGGAACCATTACCTCATGGATGCCAAGGGACATCTGCATGCTTATGTGGCAGAATAAGATAGAAAAGGGTTTTTAAAAAGGTGATTCTGAGGGAAACATTGCAAACACCATGTAGGGGTCTTCATGCATCACCCACTTTTTTCACTTGTGCATGCTCACATCTAGTGAATGTTTATAGAACTCTTATGTGTGTTCCTGTGGGGCACGGAGGACAGAGAAGCAGGTGCTTTCCTCCTGGCTGAGGGCAGCTGATGTTTTGTCTGTTCCCCAGCTGTGGCTGTGGGTGAGGGGTACTGGTGTTGATGCTGTGGACCCTCTGTTGTTAGGGCTCACGCTTGGGGCAGGAGGGGCCGGCTGCCATGCCCTGGTTCCTTGGACAAGCACTCAGGGATGACTGGATGCAGCTACATTTCCTTTCAACCCTCGCAATCCATCACACTTACTTTGTCTCTTGTAGTGCAGCTTAGCGGAGGGAGGCTGGCTTCAATCAGCAGCTCAGAATTCTGTTTATTTCATGTGAAAAGCACAAGTACATTTTTGTGGGCAAGGATGTTCAGAGAAGCGACCGCGGAAGAGGGATTGGGACAAGTTTTGATGGGTGTTGTTGGTCTCAAGAAGCTGCCATGCTGCTAGTTTAGCTGCTTGCTGTCGATGAAGTGGGCGACTGGCATGGAAACCAGGAGTTGTTTACAAACAGCAACTCTGTATACGTCCTTGCCACTGATGACCTTGGGCAAAGTTGTCTTCCTGCATTTGGTTTTCTCTTCTGATTTGTTTTCCCTTCCTGAGTCTCTCCTCCACTCCTTGTGTTCTCCCCATGCTTTGGTGTGAGTGACTCAGGAGCCCCTGTAGACACTTGCACAGGGACCAGCTCGGAGCAGGGAGTCTGAGTCTGGGTAGACTGATGCGTTTCCCTCCAGAATAACCCATTTTTAAGGAGCGGCAGCTTTAAATTCCCCAAAGCATTTTTAATGATTGAGGACTTTTGGTAAGACCTGGGCAAAACTGTCTCTTGACTACAGGAATGATCAGAACTCTGGGGTGTGCATGCTCCTGACTGTGTTGCGACAGGAGAAGGCTGGGGTGGTGGTTGGTCACGAAACACCTGTCTTTCATGGGACCAGTGTTCCACACATTCCCAGGTTAGGACACAAGGATCTGGTCACATATAGTAGGAACCAAGCTTACATCGTTTATCTACTATAAGTAAAGCAGGCAGTTTCCAAATTCAAAGAAGGTTTAAGTCAGTAAATATAGTACTCTCACTGTTAAGTTTTGCTTCTGTTGCATTGTCTTCAACTTTTGCTGCTGGCTACAAGTGCTTAGAAAATGAGGTAGTGAATACGTATAAAGGTCAATCTCAGATGTAGAATGCACCGGATTCATAGTTTGCTCAACCCTGTGCCTTAGTTACCCTGTGGATAAAATGAAGAAAGTAATAGTCTCTCCCTTCACAGATTACATAAATTCTTAGATTAGTGATTGGAAAATAGAAAATTTTGATAAGTGTTACTATTAAAGAAATTGAAGATTTGGATAATAAGGAGTGATACTTGGTTGGACACGTATCTTTCCTAGTGGCCCCACAGTTCCAGAGTTGAGATATTTTCCTTTTCACATCTTAAGTGGGTTGGAAACAGGTGCCAGTGTCCTTCCCTGGGGCAGGTTGTTTCGGTGTGGACAGATCGAGTGCCCCTGCTGAGTGGCTGGTGAGCTGCTGTACGCCGCATGGGTTGTGTGAAGTTTCCAATGTCACCTGCTTCCATTTTCTTTGTTGCAGGCTAAAATCCAGCGTGTGAAAATGAAGTCGCAGGCCACCATGATTTGCTGTTATGTATTTTTTCTAGCCACAGAATGTTCCCACTATAGACCCATGATTCACATCCAAGTAAGTTTAATCCGTCCCTAGATAAGAAGTGTCTGTGTCCACTTGGGTAGCTAGACTGCTGATAAATAATAGGGCTTTTGAAGTAAAATCTCAAATGAGTGCAGTTATGCTCTTGCTGTTAGCAATTTTCTAAAGCAAGGAATAACAACAGAAAGTTGAGAGGTGGCAGGGATTTGGCCAGGCACCACTAGTAAAATAATCATTTTGATTGCACAGGAAATGTGGATGGGAGCAGCAGGTGAGAGGAGCCTAGCTTGGTTGTAGAGCAATTCAGATCCACATTTTAATTGCACTTGTCACTAGTCACACAAGTTGTTTCAGTTCATGACGTTTAATTTCCTTTTTTATATTACACTGTTTATTTTAAAGATTATATTTCTAACCCTTTACAGGTGTAAAAGATTTGTGATCCTATTATTGAAACCAATGACTATTCCTGGTTTCTGTCCATTTCTTCCCTCTGAGGACACACAGTGCCCAGAGGGCCAGGTTAGCTGTGTTCTATCTTTACAGTTTATGTGGCCAGAGAGCAGCTTGGAGGTATAATTGTGATCTTGGTGCTTTCCACAGATGCCTAAAACTTTTCTAAAGACTTACCCGCTGCACACTGATTTGACTTTCAGAGCCCGGGTGGCCTCTGTCATGGGAGAGCAGTGTGTTCTCAGTACTCTCGTTCATGTTTCATTCAGTGAGTTCCTGCAGGACCCCCAGCCGGGCAGCTGCAGTGTCCTTCCTGGCCCTGAACATGTTTTCTCTCCGTGTTTTCATGTTTGCACAGAGCTTCCGAGGTGAGATGAGAGAGGAATCCCATAGTAAAGAGGGTCTTTGGGAATTTGTTTTTCAGGATGGAGATAAACCTCACAGCGCTGCAGGGAAACTCAAGACTGGACACACAGAAGGTATGTGGCTGTAGAGCGGTCTTCATCCTTTTGGGGATAGGGCGGGGGAAAGCAAGGACATTGGTACTGCAAGCATATCTCTAGACCACAGGCTTTCTGACTGAATAATGATTTGTAGTAAGTTCTCCATGTTTACCAGTGTGGATGGATATCTTTTTCACAATGAAACTATCATCAAAAAAAAAGAAGAAAAAAAGAGAGACCAATATTCATGTGTGCTGTAAAATTATAGACAAAGGTCCATTTTCAAACCCAAAGGGACATGAGTGTGTTCAAATTAACGAACTAACAGGAGGTGGAACAGGAAGGAGGACAAGATTCACTCCACGTCCTTCAAAGATATTTTGAGGGTGCTTAAACGTACTCAGTGCTCCGGTGCTGTAGCAGTGTGAGACCCATCACTCTTCAGGGGTGACAAGTAGACAGCAGGGGTAATCATTCGTAATAGTAGGGTGAAATCTGTGGCTGTCATGGCAATTGTAGGGATAGCTGGATTCTGCACAGTGGTGGCCAGGCAGTTTCGGCAGCCAGCATATCTCTAGATATGAAATCGGAAAGAGAGACAACTAGCATGTATTGGGTCTTTATGACAACCCTGTTCTAAATATTGTGCAAGATGCTGTGTCATTAAATATTTGTAAGGACACAGTGACATCATTTCTAATCAAATCCATGAAGAAGTAGGAACTACACTGGTTAACTAAATTGTAAAAACCGGGATCCTTAGTAGATGTCAGGAAAGGTGCAGACACACTCATTTTCGTTTCCCTTCCTGAGAATTGGAGCCTTGCACAGAACTGTCCAAGCCGTAACACCACCGTCCCGGGCCCTCAGCCTGAGGTCACCTCTTTAGCCTTCTTTCAGCCAGGACTCCTTTCCATTGCACAGCCACTGTCCTAAGACAATTCTTCTGGAGTCTCATCCCCTTCGCCTGCTCATCCAGTCTTTACCCACAGGCCAAATTTGTCCCAAAGCTAGTGCTTGTAAATGTAAAGTTTTGTGGGGACACAGTTATAGCCACCATCTATATGTCACCTTTGTCTGTTTCCATAATATTTAGTAGGTATGGCAGAGATCCCCGTGACCCATGAAGCTGAAAGCATTTACTCTCTGGCTAGAGTTGTCATCATATTTAGCAAGCTATTGGGTTAAATCTGTTGGCTATTGGATTAAATCTATTGGTTATTGGGTTATATATAGGCTATTGGGTTAATTCTGAATTTCAAATAAACAATGAGTAGAATGCTACTGCATGGATCCTGTGTACACTGGAAATTAGTCCTCATTCATCTGAACATTTGCAATCCACTGTCATTATGTGCATAGTCTGTATTTACAGATTTGCCTCTTCACGGACTTTTCTTTGTAACCCCTAAGCCAACACTCCCAGTGTTCATGTGATCATTCCCAGACGTGGTCAGAGATGTTCCTGCACATGTTCCCAGCTGAGGCTGGACAAGGCTGTGCCTGTCTCTTTGTTCCAGCTCTGCTCCAGCACCACGGCATGTGTGTTAGATGCAAAGCAACGCTATATACTCAACAAGTTGCCTGCCAAGAGCAACATGAGTAAAAAATCAGGTTCTGCATTGATCAGTTGATGATGAAAACGTGAACAGAAACTGGCAGGATCCTAACCTTGTATTCCCCAGGAGCACAGGCTCAGAACTTGCAAATTTGGTGCTCTTCATGACTTACAGAACACAGTTCCTAGGACTAATGAGAACTGACTGTATCTGAAAGTAAAATTAACATTTAAATGGGTTTCCCGCATTTCATCTGGCAACTCCATTTGTATAGCTCTGTGCAGAGTTGTTTATTGCCCTTGTCAAGTACCTTTTACTACAAATCTAGTTCTGCCTTCAGTGCCTCCCGGTTAGGGCAGCACAAGGTCCTTCAGGGCTCACCCTGCTCCGTCCTCCATCCTGGGAGAGGCATGGGGATGTCCTGCCCTCCCCAAAGAGCCAGTGCCTTTCCATGTGCTGCTCACATGCCCAGTGGCAGCCTCCCAGGCTTCCTGGGCAGCTTTGACTCCTTGCAGTGACCCCAGTTCATTGCCACTTTTGCTGGGAAGGGGTCCGATATCCCAGAAGGATTCATCATCAGCGTGTGGAAATGCTAATCGGGCCTCTCACTACCTGTCGTTCCCTTTCAGAGAAATGCCGAGGGCC